TGCCACACCACCCACACAACCACAAGATCCCATATACGTACACATACGCACGTATGTAGGTGTGTATATCCGGATCCGGATACGTATCCGCCCATATGTGGAGGGGCGCCGCTTTTTGTGCCTCCGCCCATTGAAGCGGAAAAACTTTCTGCCCGGAGAAGCAACACAAAATGCTTAAAATTAAGGCAAAACTTTGCCATGGATTCCCTTTTCTGCTGGAAGCCATTAGCGAGGGTCTCATACATTTCTAATGAACTTGGCTGAGTTGCCAAAATAAAGGGAATATGTTATTTTATTTCAGGGGTTTTTCTTAAAGCTTGCGAGGAAAACAAACTAATAAGATTGAATGGGAATTACAATACGGTTGAGTGTTCTAGTTTCGGTTTAGAAATACTAGATCCAGTATCTATGGCGCCCCTTTTGTACAGAGTGCTTCTTGTTCTCCCATGAATGATGCTGTTTTCCAGGAAACTCCTTTGAAGGGAATGGCTTCTTCATCATAAATACGAACAGACTTCTTCTATTTCGCATAGACACCAAACCGAATAAACGGAGTGAAGGCTTCTTGTCTTTGGGCTGGCTGTTTTGGTCTGATTTTGACACAAATCCCTTTGGTGCTAAAGCAATTTATGCGGCTTCCAGTCATTCGGGATCCAGGATCCAGGATCTGTGTTCCGGGGATGGGATGTACCCACAAAACTACACTCTCCGTCAGTCTCCGGCAAAGGAGAAAAAAAAACAACCAAACCAAAGATGTGCGAGAATAGTTTTTCCCTATTCCGTGTCCCAAAAGGATGCCAGGACGAAGGACGAGGAAGGAACCCACATGCACTTGGCTGGGCTTTGGTTATGGCTGGTTGGTTATGGCTAGATTGGCGCTGCATAAGTGCAATTTTATGTTTTGGCCCCAAAGTTGCCTTCGAAGCGAAGTAGTTGATAAATGGCTAACCGACGACGATGGCCGCCCCGCAAAATCCATGGAAATCTCCGAAACCCAATCCCTTCCGATGCCTCAAACCCAAACAATTCAAAGCAGCAGGACGAACGGAAAAAATGCAAATTTCCGAGCATAAATCTAAAAATTTTCATATTCACATACAAATACTTGTACGGATGTATGCACCATAGTATAGTATAAATAAATATGGTCGCTGTTTTTTATGTTTGTCCCAAATCGAGAATAACAAGCCAGGAAGGGCCGGGCACAACCACATGCCACGCCTACCTAACAGGCCGCCCACCTTTGTGAGTGCTACATGGCCGCAGATAAACCGTCCGAAAGTAATGCCAAAACATTTCGTGTCATAAATTTTACGACATAAGCGCGAAAGGCAAAACCGCACACAAAGCCAACCCCCCAAAAAATGTCAAAAAAATGGGAATAGAAAGTAACACAATTTAACAAGTCAAATATTTGATGCTCTCTAGAAATTAATAAAAACGTGATAAAATATATACACTTAAGACGAAGATAAAGCTTTAAAAATTGTAATCCAAGGCCAATTTTCAAAACTAATAAAATAATATTTTATCCTAGTTAAAAATGCAATCTAGATATACTTCTTATAAAGTCATTTTAAAGTTTAATCTATTACTTGCGTTACAAATATTATTAGTTTTAGTAAATATTTATCAGTTTTTTTAGAGGCCTACCCTATTATTCGTAGCACGTTTATATGTTGAAACCAAGCCCATTACAATAAATATTGATTTACAATTTTTTGCGCTTAGAACATTTATTTGGTTGAAAACAGAGGCGTAGTCTAAAAATACTTTAACTATAAAATAAAAAAAAATAAATAAATAATAAGCTATAGCTTTAAGATTTTTATTCGTTAATAAATTTGATTAAAAACAAAAATCTTTTTAGCTTCCTTTGTTCCGCTTCTGATTAGAGGCATATCTGATAAAGCCCCCTTTCCTGAAGAACAATGATATTTAGCCTTTTCGAAGGGGAGTACGTAGTGGAGCTATAAATTAATTCAAGTGCCTGAAAATATTTTTGATAACATAAAATCAAGCCAAGCGAATCCAAAGATCCCTTTCTTGTTATTATTTCGACGAGGCCTGAAAATTTAAACGGCCGGGCCATTAAACGAAACGAGTTGGATGTGGTTTAATGGCTTCATTTTTCAGGAGGGGGATATTGCGGAGTGCAGCCCTCTCCCTTTTAGCCAACATTTCCCAATATTTCGGCCGCACTTTAGCCAATTCTATTTGTCTTCTGCTCGAAGATTTAATTAAAAAAGTCGAAAGCATGCAAAACGAACTTTTTTGGCGGGCAACCAAGGGAAGGTGAAATGCGGCTGGCATTAGCCAGAACTTTCCGGCAAGAGGTCCTGCCACGACCCGACCGACCACAAAGGATGCGCCCTAAGGAAGCCCGGCAACTTGGCAAACTTCTCCGGAGCACAGAGCGAAGCGGAGCCGAGTATCTCGTTATCATCGCCCATCATCAGCGTCAGATACAATAATAACAGGACCTCCAACAACAAAGGACTAGATGCCAGCCACTCGTCTTCGATTCCTTCGTTAGCAATACTTTTAAAGTAAATTGCGGCAGACCCTGGGGTGGGGGTTTGGCTGGGTGTTTTGGGTACTTGGGTTCTTGGGTAATGGGACGTCCTGGAGTCGGGTCCATGGAAAGTGCTCCCTGCACACGTTACGGCACTTTGCCCTCGCTCCATGCTTGGCTTCGTTTTGATTTTTCACTGCTCGCCCCTCATGGTGATGTGATGGTGGCCCCCAGTTTTCTCCAACCTTCTGCCTCCTGCTTCCTGCTTCCCGGGCTGGGAAAATTAATTGCATGCAAATATTGACAGAGAAAAAGTAAATATAATTTCATTGTTTACTCATAAATACGCATTATTTGGAAAATGAAAATAGAAAAGACCCAGCATCTTCACCCACACCTCCGAAAAATAACATTAAAACGAGGCAACACAAAGAAATAACTAATTACAATTAGCTCACTGTTTCAGAAACGACTAAAAAATTTTAAACAATTTCAAAAATATTTTTAATAAAAATTTATTTTAAAAGGAGGTCTTTTAGACACTAAAAACATAGTATAGTTAAGTAAAGGTAGGATTCTTTTTCTTTCTTTTCCCATCTCTCCACCCAGTGTAAAAATATAAAAATATAATTTTAAAAGGCTTTTCCCGTTTCTATGCTCTTGTGGAAAAGATATTGGCATTGGCCCTCTAATCGGTTTAAACATTCGGCGAAAACTCTGTCGGCTAATTGGCATCATTATTTTTGATGGGGTCACGCAGGCATCCTGCAGGCTCCTGGAATCGTTCCTAAAACCTTTTCGCCAGGAACCGAATCCCGGTCTGATAAATGGGAAAATGCTTAGCAAAGGTAATTAATGGGCAAGTGCAGGGGGGCTTTCAGCCTTTCAGTGTTCAGTGTTTGAGGCTTTGAGGCTATAATTAATGGGTCTGCTAAGCACGAACATGAGTCCTCAATTGCACCGTCGAGAAGAGTTGTTTCCTGAGTTGATAAAAATTGATGCCAATTAAAAGTTGGCAATCTGTGAAGCTGTCAAAATGGGTCAAGTTTTCAGGAGCAGGTCCTTTGCCGAAAAAATCTCCTTCTCGGCTTGGCTTTGGTACCACATTAAATGGCCCACCGAAGACTCTCTCAAATGCTTAAAACCCCCGGGCTAGCAACCTCCTCGAAAACAACAATTTACGGCTCCCAACTTGCTCGAGTGTTGTGCTTAATCGTCAAAAACACTTCTTATCGAAAAGCATTTCCTACCCCCGGATAAACTTTGCTCATAAATTATTACACAAAATTAGTTGCAGCAGGGAAGGCGGGGAAAAAGCTGAAGCATCTTCGGTGACTTAAAAAATTTAAAGCCCGGCAAGAAAATGAAATATGGGCGACTCGAGACAAAAAGCTAAATAATCACAGACATGTCGGATAATAAATGATTAACGTCCTGGCGGGTCGGGTGGAAACTAGAAAGGCTTCTGCCTCATCCAAGGCCCTGATAGCTCCGGGATTCTTGGCCGAATGTTGACCATTTCATTGCCCCAAATTGATATTGATGAGTAGAGCCCATTAGGATTTAGACCTCTGCCTGGAAAAGGGAAATTTTAATCATAATTGAGACAAAATAATATCCAATAAGCAAACACTTTCGCCCGCCGTCATTACTCAAAATAATATTCAAAAAAGACTTAGGATCAAAGCAAGCAGGCCGAGTTCTACACTCTTCCAGAGAATTTAACCTTATTTAACCTACCAATCCCTGGAGACAAATATGCTTGATAACTGAAATGCGGAACCGCAAACAAAAGAAGTCCAACTCCGTGCAGGATGAGCGCAAGGAGCGGATTATGCGATTCATCGAGGAGAACCGAAGAAAGGATTCAGATTGTAATGATAAAAGTCAGGCTTTAAAAAAGGATTCAGGACCTGCGTCATGTGTAATCTCAACGCCAACAACAGACCAACGATTAATAGGAGGTATATCTGGGCAAAGATTCTGTGCTCCACCCTGCTAAATATATCCAATTTCAGGCACCAGCAAGCCGACTGGAAAGCTACCCCGCACCGATAGTGAATGTCGGCTCAACGCTCCTGGACAGAGTTTCCTTCAAAAAAGAAGCTCCAATGTAGCAATAAGCTTACTGGAGCTGGTTATCCCAAATAAACCACGAGAGCAGCTGAAGAACAAGTGCAACTTTTTTCCCAAATATGTGGATCCTCGACCAAACAAAGATCAGACAACTCAGACGCTTTACAGGTAGAGGATCAATTTTTTCGAGAAAACCTATATAACGTTTGCTTTTTTTTTAAGGGAGTCCTCGGCGCAAACCCTGCCATACCTTCCGCAGCCCTTCACCAAACAAGATGTAGACCAAACGTTGGAGCTCTTAACTCTCCCCACTTTACTGCCAGGAGACGGGCCTCCGGGGCTCTACGAGGTGGATGTGCTCGAGCGAGCTCGCAAGCGCGGGGCTCTCCTCCAGGCTATGAGGACCAACATGAAACTCCACCAGGCGGATGCCAGGAAATTGGAATTTCAAAAGTACAAGAACCTGCTGCAGGCATTCGAGTGGTCGGAGTGGATACAGCGGGAGGAGTACCTCCAGGAATGCCAGATTCTGCGACTGGAGATCGTGATCAAGATGCTCGACAAGCGAGAGCGGGAGATGCACGCCGCCTCCAAGACGCGGATTGAGCAGGCCTGCGAGCGCATCGAGAAACGCCGCCAGGCAGACCTCCAGAAGAACGAGATAGAGTACCAACGCGGGATGCGACGGATAACCATGCAACTTGCCAAGACCTCCAGGAAGTGGGAGAAGCCAGACACGCTGTTCGCACTGGGTTCGCGCTGCTCCGAGTTCTACGCTCCGATCCGCCGATATGGCGTGGACCCCGTCCGTCGGAACTTCGAGCCGGAAGCCGGGCGTCGAGCATTCGACATGCGGATCGATAAGCTTGAGAAGCAGGTTAACATGAACCGGCTGAAGTGCCCCTTTAAGAAGCTGAAAGAGTGGGCCGAACCGAAGCTGCCGACCCACGAATACGAACAAAACTTCTGTTCGGAGGCCCATCTGCAAAGCCTCTACGAGTTCCTAAAGAGAATGAGGAAGCTCAGGGATCCTCGCACCGATACGCCTCTCTGCCTAAAAGAAAAGTTCGATTTTTCAAAGATTAATGACCGCGGAGATTCAACAGTCTCCTACGATCCAGCCCCGCAGTTCATCGGTAGGCGAACTCTAAAGCCGTGGGATAAGAAGCCACTCCATAGCACTCGACTTAAAGAACCGGAAGATCCAAAGGTAGATAGAGACCCAGGACAAGAGATCCAATACACCGACTTAGAAGCTTTGATTAGTGCCTACGAAGGCAAAGTTATCGGCTTCCTCATGGAGTTCCTCTTAGAGGAATCAAATCGGATGGTGGAGCAGCGACGTCTCCACGCCTTCGCAATCCTTTCGCTTAAAGAGCGTTGGCGCCGTGAGGCCATCGAAGGGGGAAACAGACAAAAGGAGAACGACTTGCGGACGCTGTACGAGGATATGTTCCAGCAGAGCATTTCAGTTAACAACGATGTGGCCGATCTCTTTATCAAGAACATCCTCGACACCGACGTGTCAGCAATTGCCGCCAACGAAGCGGCGGAATCGATGAACGAGATGGCTCTGCAGATCGACCGGGACATTGAGCGATGGCTGGAGAGCTTCAAGCTCATCCAGAATCCCCTAACATTTATACCGCTACGGCTTATGCTCCGGGACATGGTCAGCCCGGATTTGGATGCCGCCGTGGTGGAGCACGAAAACGCAATGATGATCCAGTACATTGTGGAGGAGGTGATCTTCGATAGGGTGTGGAAGGCACTAGAGCCCTTTGACGTAGGCAGTACCCTGACAAGCGACCTTATCGACCGCCTCATCGACAACGACCTCTACCTCTTCTCCACGGACAGCGAGAGCGATTCCGACCATATGCCCTCCTGGTACGAGGCCCAAGCCATTATCAGGAAACTCATTCGTTACTCAGTGCCCGGAAAGCGCTGGAAGGAGGAGAACGAGCGGATTGTTCACGATATATACGACGATATGCTAGACGACATCTTTGTTCAGTTGATTTTGAAATACTATCCACCCACTCAAGAACGGATCCAGTGCCAAGAGTATGAGGAAATTAATGAGGAGGAAGGGACTGACTTGATTTCTATAAGATCTGACTTATCCACCAGGAGTATTTTCAATGTTCATTCCGACCTATCCAGTTTTGACAACGATCAAGACAATGCAAGCGAACGTTTAAGGGTTATGGAGCTAACTGAAGATAACAATAACCTGAGTAGTCAAAAAGATGTCCAAGACGACTGGATGTGTGAAATAAACTAACAGAAAAGATGCAAAAAAATGTGAAGAAGCAATTCTCCAAGGATTTCGAATTTTACTATAACATTATATATTTTTATTCTCTTGTATAGACCAATAAATACATTTTTACACACCAAAGAGAAAGTTTGACTATTCAATGCATGTTCAATGCATGTATACCTTGTATAATTGTATCATGCAAATACCCATATTCGTCTCATTAAGGGTAATTTCCTCGTAGCCGGTTTTTAGTCACCTTTTTCTTGCTTCAATATTTTCACAATCACCTTAAGAAACTAAGTAGACTTTATACAAACAATTTAAAGCAATAACTCACACTTATAACTTACTCACTTACATACAAAAAATTCGTATACATAAACACCTTGCTATTAAAAATGGCTCCGGTAAAGGAGAAACAATCGCGGAAAGATCGGATACTTCAGTTCCTCCAGGAACATCGTGAGTTGACGCCCACTGGGTTGACTTCGCCAAGGAAGGAGGATGACTCCAGGCAAAAGAAACGTGTCACATTCACCCAGACGAAGAAACAGAGATCCTCTGGCGGCAAATCATTACCTAAGGTCAAGGAAACGGAAATTCAGATTGGACTGGGTCTTACTTCATGCCTGATCACCAAGTCCTCGGATACAAGAATATGCGGCGGTGGGTGCAGCATGGAATAAAGCCTAATTTAAGTAACAATATTATCCCAATTTCAGGCGCCAACAATCCTGGGGAGCGCGATGTTGGAAAACTTCCACGAACAGACAGCGAATGTCGGTTCAAGTCCCCAGGAATGAACTTTCTCAAGGAACGAAATGAAAACTGTGCTTCCCAAGTTCTCAAGTTAGTTCCTCCAAAACCGATTCGCAAGGAGCTGAAGAACAAATGCGACTTCTTTCCAAAGTTCTACGACAACAGTCCTTTCAAGGATCAGACCACACAAACGCTATATAGGTAAGACCGTTCAATACCCTAATAGTCTTAAATCTCATATCCGCTTTAAAGGGAGTCGTCTGCACAGACCTTGGCCTATTTGCCGGAGATAGAAAAGTCTGAGAAGAGTCAAAAACTTGAGCTTTTTTCCCTGTCCCAGTTGCTGCCGGGAGACAAGCCTCCAGGCCTTCACGAGGTGGAGATCCTGGAGCGATCGCGCCGTCGGTGGCTCTTCCGAGATTCTCTGAAACAAAACTTTCAAAAACTCTTCAACGAGGCCAGGGAGTTGGAGATTAAAACCAAGTACAAACCAATCCTACAGGCCTTCGAATGGGAGCAGTGGATCGAGCGAGAGGAGTATATTCAGGAGTGCCAGATGATGCGGCTGGAGATCGTGATCAAAATGTTTGACAAGCGGGAGAAGGAGATGCACGCCTCGTCCAATGTCCGTATTGAGCAGGCCTGTGAGCGTATAGAGAAGCGCCGTCAGGCGGGACTGCACAAGAACGAGATCGAGTACCAGCGCGGGATGAGGCGCATAACCATGCAACTGGCCAAGACCTCCCGAAAGTGGGAGAAGCAGGACACTCTAACCGCCCTGGGATCTCCCTGCTCTGAGTTCTACGGACCTATGATACGGCATGGGGTGGACCCGGCTCGCCGAAATTTCGCCCCCACCACCGGACACAAGGCGTTCGACATGAGGATCGACGATCTAGAGAAGAAGGTCAACATGAAAAATATACAGTGTCCCTTCAGCAAGCTTAAGGAGTGGTCGAAGCCCAAGGAATACGCCAGGGAGTATGAAAAGAACTTCTGCAACGACGACCATCTCCAAAAGCTTTACGAGTCCTTGAAGACCCTGAGAACCCAACAAGACTTGGTTAAGGATGCGCCCCAGTGCCTCAAGACCCGAATCCATAGAGATGCCGTAGAATTCGACAGTAGTGATGATTCATATCCAAGCTTCAGTTTGCCTCCAAGCCAATGGGACAGCAGAAAGTCCAGACATACCCCGACACAGATACAGAAGAAGATACGAAGAGAGCCCGAGCCACCAAAGAAGCCCGATGGAAAGTTTGGGAATATGAACCTGGAGGAGTTCGAAAACGTCATCAAAACATACGAAGGCAATTACATCGGTTGGATTATGCAGTTCCTGGATGATGAAATGGACCGACTCAAGGAGCAGCGTAAGCTCCACCTCTTCTCCATTGTGGCTCAGAAGGAACGCTGGCGCCGCGAAGCCCAGGAGGCTGGCGTCCGGCAGAAGGAGAACGACTTACGAATGCTGTACGAGGAATTGTTTCAGAAGTGCAACTGCATCCACCAGGAGCTCTCTAAAGGGTACATCGAAAACATTTTGACGACGGATGTGAATAACATCGTGGGGAACTTAGCTGAGCAGAAAATTTCTGAAGAAGGCCGGAAAATAGACGAAGAGTTGAACCGCTGGCTGGAGAGCTTCAAGCTTGTCCAAAATCCGCTTACTTACGTTCCTTTGAGACTTATGCTCCGCGACATGGTATCCCCGAACGTGGATGCCACCCTCCAACACCATGAAAAGATTCTGATCTCCCAGTATATAGTAGAGGACGTGATTTTTAACAGAGTGTGGAAGGTGGTGGAGCCCTTCGACATAGCCACCACCTTAAGCCGCGACCTCATCGATCGCCTCATCGACAACGACCTTTACCTCTTCTCTACGGACAGCGAGAGCGATACCGACCACAAGCCGTCTTGGTACGAGGCCCATGCCATTATTCGGAAGGTGATACGCCAGTCGGTACCCGGAAAGCGCTGGAAAGAAGAAAATGAGCGGATTATTTACAGTATATACGACGATATGTTGGACAACATCATCGGTGAATTGATTCTAGAACAGGAGCCCGTCGCTGGGGTTCCCTGTGTCCAGAATGACACAGTTGAGTCAAAGGTTGAAGAAAAGTTGCCTATTAAACTTCCTCGAGATCCCACCGGACCACTAAGAAAAAGCGTCGCGGGATTTGATCTCTTGGTTGGTCATACTAAGGACACCTATGATAAAACCGAGCTTGATATTGTGGATAGTGACCAGTTTTACGTTGATAAACATCTATTAAGTGTTGTTGATCTGAGAAAAGAGGGAATATCTGAAGAAATGAGTTCGGGGTGTCAAATTAATTAACAAACAAAGGACAAAGTTGTCGCTTGGTAAATCGTTAAAGGGTTTTGAATTTTGCTAGCAATAGTATGTCTTGTAATAATGTCTTGTATAATATGAAGCAAAAAAAAATAAAACTATGCGCCAAAAAATGAGTTTCTTTATGGTGGAATGTGAACCCCAGGCCAGGCAAAAATCGATTAGCCCACGAAACTCAGCCAACCCCTTGACAGCGGCTCGGTTGCCAGGACATTGCGCAAACTGTTTACTGACTGACTAACCCAATATTTTTCTTACTCACCCATCAAAGCTGTTTCGAACAGGTTAACCTAGTAGACTGCTTGTCTACCGACTGGGGAAAACATCACCTCATAAGTCATACGCAAAAGCAACCAATTCATATAAACACTAAACAACTTCGACTTAAAATGCCTCCGATAAAGGACAAACAGTCGCGGAAAGATCGGATACTTCAGTTCCTCCAGGAACATCGTGAGTTAAAGCCCACTGGCTTGATTTCGCCAAGGAAGGAGGATGACTCCAGGCAAAAGAAACGTGTCACATTCACCCAGGCGAAGAAACAGAGATCCTCTGGCGTCGAATCATTACCTAAGGTCAAGGAAACGGAAATGCAGATTGGACTGGGTCTTACCTCATGCCTGATCACCAAGTCCTCGGATACAAGAATATGCGGCGGTGGGTGCAGCATGGAATAAAGCCCAATTTAAAAGTAACATAATTTCTCCAATTTTAGGTGCCAACAATCCTGGGGAGCGCGATGTTGGAAAACTTCCACGAACAGACAGCGAATGTCGGTTCAAGTCGCCGGGAATAAACTTTCTCAAGGAACGAAATGAAAACTGTGCGTCCCAAGTTCTCAAGTTAGTTCCTCCAAAACCGATTCGCAAGGAGCTGAAGAACAAATGCGACTTCTTTCCAAAGTTCTACGACAACAGTCCTTTCAAGGATCAGACCACACAAACGCTATATAGGTAAGACCGTTCAATACCCTAATAGTCTTAAATCTCATATCCGCTTTAAAGGGAGTCGTCTGCACAGACCTTGGCCTATTTGCCGGAGATAGAAAAGTCTGAGAAGATTCAAAAACTTGAGCTTTTCTCCCTGTCTCAGTTGCTGCCGGGAGACAAGCCTCCAGGCCTTCACGAGGTGGAGATCCTGGAGCGATCGCGTCGTCGGTGGCTCTTCCGAGATTCTCTGAAACAAAACTTTCAAAAACTCTTCAACGAGGCCAGGGAGTTGGAGATTAAAACCAAGTACAAACCAATCCTACAGGCCTTCGAATGGGAGCAGTGGATCGAGCGAGAGGAGTATATTCAGGAGTGCCAGATGATGCGGCTGGAGATCGTGATCAAAATGTTTGACAAGCGGGAGAAGGAGATGCACGCCTCGTCCAATGTCCGTATTGAGCAGGCCTGTGAGCGTATAGAGAAGCGCCGTCAGGCGGGACTGCACAAGAACGAGATCGAGTACCAGCGCGGGATGAGGCGCATAACCATGCAACTGGCCAAGACCTCCCGAAAGTGGGAGAAGCAGGACACTCTAACCGCCCTGGGATCTCCCTGCTCTGAGTTCTACGGACCTATGATACGGCATGGGGTGGACCCGGCTCGCCGCAATTTCGCCCCCACCACCGGACACAAGGCATTCGACATGAGGATCGACGATCTAGAGAAGAAGGTCAACATGAAAAATATACAGTGTCCCTTCAGCAAGCTTAAGGAGTGGTCGAAGCCCAAGGAATACGCCAGGGAGTATGAGCAAAACTTCTGCAACGACGACAACCTCCAAAAGCTTTACGAGTCCTTAAAAACTTTGAGAACCCAACAAGACTTGGTTAAGGATGCGCCCCAGTGCCTCAAGACACGAATCCATAAAGATGCTGCAGAATTCGACAGTAGTGATGATTCATATCCAAGCTTCAGTTTCCCTCAAAGCCAATGGGACAGCAGAAAGTCCAGGCATACCCCTACACAAATACAGCAGAAACGTCAAGCAAAGAAAGAGCAGCCTCCGCTGCCTAAAGCAAAAAAAGAGGAAAAGGGCCAGGAGGACTTTGAGAGCCTTATTAGGACCTACGAAGGAACTTATATCGGTTGGATTATGCAGTTCCTGGCTGAAGAAATGGTACGGCTTAAGGAGCAACGTAAGCTACACTTGTTCACCATCCTGGCTCAGAAGGAACGCTGGCGCCGTGAAGCCCAGGAAGCTGGCGTCCGGCAGAAGGAGAACGACTTACGAATGCTGTACGAGGAGTTGTTCCAGAACTGCAACTCCCTCCACCAGGACGTCTCCAATGAGTACATCGACAAGATTCTATCAACGGATGTGAGAAACATCGTTGATAACCTAGCTGAACAGAAAATAACCGAAGATGCCTTGAAAATAGACGAGGAGATCGAACGCTGGATGGAAAGCTTCAAGGTCGTCCAGAATCCCCTTACTTTTGTCCCTTTGAGGCTTATGCTCCGCGACATGGTATCCCCGAACATGGACGCGGCTCTCCAACACCATGAGAAAACTCTGATCTCTCAGTACATAGTTGAGGACGTAATCTTTGACAAAGTCTGGAGCGTGCTAGAGCCTTTCGATATAGCCACCACATTGACCAGCGACCTCATCGATCGGCTGATCGACAACGACTTGTACCTCTTCTCCTCGGACAGCGAGAGCGAAACCCACCACCCATCATCATGGGTTGAGGTCCATGCCATAATGCGGAAGCTCGTACGGTATGCGGTTCCTGGCAAGAGGTGGAAGGAGGACAACGAGGTGATTGTTGAGGCAACATATAGGGACCTGTTTGACGATATTTTCGACGAAATCATCGCCAAGGCCGAGAACGTGCGCCCATTAAACTCCGACGAGCTGATGTCGTTGCGCTCGAGTGACGACTTCTTCCGTTTTCCCGAGGAGATGACCAGGAAATCAAGATGTCCGAAGTCAGATATGGACGCCATTTCAGTCGGTACCGCACCAGTTTCTATGAGAAACTCCTTGACTCTCCACGCTCAGTTATTGAATCTCTTTAAGAAGTTCCATGAGCACAAAATAACCAAGGAACTGAAAAGTGACGATCTGGGTATAGTTGTTTCAGACGCATCCCACAACGACAACTTCGTCAAGGCTGAGTATTACACTCCAATTACGCCAGGGGTGTTGCCATCAGACTCTGACATATTCAGCGTGACTAGTGTCACAGATATTCCCGAAAAAGGCGAACATCTCTCCATGCTGCGTTCTCATCATTCGCATGCCTACTTTGGAAAGACGCCTCGGAATAGATCCATTACGCTTGACGCAGTGGAGGAGGCTGAAGGGACTAAGCCCCCTGATCTGAACACTGAGGGCGACGTTTCCAGGAGATCTTCCAGAAGATTATCTTCCAGAAGATCATCTTCCAGAAGATCTTCTAGAAGATCAGAGAGATCTTCTTTCAGAAAAGAGGCAACGGATCAAGAAGTTGTTTTTGAGGACGAAATTCAGGCTCAAGCCCCCGGAGATTCCTTGGAATCCTTGGAAGACGAAGAGGAATCTGAGGCAAGAGACTCTCACTATACCTATTCAACTAAAGATTCACAGCTCTTCAGTTTTAAATCCTAGTTTAAAATCCATACCACTTTTTTTAAATTTGATAGGTAACGGTTCAATTCGTTACTTTCATAAGCATCGTTTGGCACAGTTTCGATTCAGACTCACGCAGTATGGCAAATAAAAAGATACTCACAGGTTGCTGTAATACATTTAACTTGTTTACTTATACAAGTCTCCTGTTAGTCCCTGGTTGATAAAATAAAAATTTGGTAAAAAGGGTTTGTTTTCCAAATACCTTTAAAATCGGCCCCAAGGATGCTGGTGTTTTAAAGCTCCATAGGCCACATGCATGCTGGCCTAAATCTGAATGGAAATAATGTCTGGCAATTATTTTAATATTTTTCATGTTGCTCAGACTTCACGTTTATTTTAGCCACCACATAATATTTAAGAAATATACATTTTCAAGCCGAACAAACCAAAAACTCTTAGAAGCTCAGCTGGCAGAGCAGTGCCGTACCCCGAATGATCCAATGGGAGGTCGGGGTACTGGGATTGCAAAGCAGCAACATGGCCACCACAAAGTTAGTACTGTGTCCTGTGGTGGACAGGACTCCCCGCCGCTCTGCCGTTTTGTACAAGGGACAAAGGTAGTTGTGCCGATCGGGCAGATCAACCCGTTTAAGCGGCTTCAACCAAATCAGAGGCATCGTATCAAACAGCTCCCTGGGCCGCGATTCGGCCAGATACTTGCCAACGCGATCCCATCGGGCGCCCTCCAGGTATATCCCGTACACAAAGACACCGTCATCGGGAGCTTTCAGGCCCTGGATTTGGGTCTCTTCCAGCGAAAGAACGTCGTAGTCGAAAGCTAGCAAATCGATAGATATCACGTATTTTCGGGCGTAGTTCTGCTGGGCGCCCGTCAAAAAGGCCTGGGTGAAGAAGAAGCCGGACAGCCAGAACGTCGAGGGAGCTCCATGATCAAACCAGTTCTGTTCAAATAGGCAAATGAGTGAGTACTTCAATCGATCAAAGGGGAAATATGTATATCACTTACCTGCAGGAACTCAAGACGTCGCAGAAAATCTGTAACATAGCTACCCAGAGGCTTCAGACTTGGATAGGATTTTCCAGCCCACATTGCCGGTATTTTGGCTATCAAGACGGACTTGTAGACAGCTTCCACGGCGGCAGACATGACGACCAAGCCTGTTGGATATTGAATTGTTTAATCGGAAATAATGAATTTAAAATAGGGATGCCCATTAAAAAATGTAACATGGTATTCGCTCAAAGTTAACTTAGTAGCCCGTTCTTTCTTAAATTTAATTAGACATTAAACAAGTTTGAAGAAAACACAACCACACAACTACCCAAAGACACATTTTCGTTTCTTTTTTCTTTTCGTTCATTGAAAAACCCAAAAAAAGAGTAGTTTATCAATTTAATTGTATAATGCCGTCCACTGAGAAGAAAACAAAGAATGTTCTTGAGAAGGCAAGACAAGAACGGCAAAAAGAAAGGGCTCTGCGAGTCACACTCACCAAACCAGGAGGAAAAAAAGACCTAGGACAGATACTAACATCATGTCTGACTACCTCTGTCCCACAACTGAGAATGTCTGGCGGTAGGTTTACTAATCTTATTGTTCCAAAAATGGTAATATATTGGGTTTTTAGGAACCAACGATCCATCTAAGCGACGGACAGGAAAACTACCCCGGACCGACAGCGAATGCCAACTTAAAGCCCCAGGAATGCAATTTCTATCTGAGAAACAGCCCAAAGTCACAACCCGTGAGGTTACAATATCTCCTTCAGTAACCTTAACAAGCAAATTGAATAACAAATGTGACTTCTTTCCAAAGTTTGAGGATAAAAATCCTTTCAGGAACCAAAGAACTCAAACGCTTTATAGGTAAGTGAACAGAAATTCTTAAGGGAATGACTTGCTTCAACCATTTGCTTCCAGAGAGTCCTCGGCACAGACCCTGGCCTACCTTCCAGAAGTTCTCGACAAGGAAAATGTGAAACCTTTCGAGCTGTTTTCATTGCCATCCGTGCTGCCGGGCGACAAGCCTCCAGGGCTCTACGAGGCGGAGGTCCTGGAGCGCTCCAGAAAGCGCTGGACCTTCAGAGACGCCCTCAAGGCCAATTTGAGAGTCCTTCTCAAGGACGCCAGGGAAAAGGCCATAAAGTCGCAGTACAAGCCCCTATTAGAAGCCTTCGAGTGGGAGCAGTGGATCGAGCGGGAGGAATATATCCAGGAGTGCCAGATGATGCGTCTGGAGATTGTGATCAAAATGTTTGACAAGCGGGAGAAGGAGATGCACTCCGCCTCCAAGACCCGGATTGAGAAAGCCTGTGAGGAGATCGAGAAGCGTCGCCAAGCCGCCTTGCAAAAGAACGAGAGGGAGTACAATCGGGGAATGCACCGCTTGGAGATCTCATTGTCCAAGAAACCACGTAAGTGGCAAAGACAGAACCCGGTGGAGTCTCTGAGTAGCCCGTGCTCCGAGTTCTATGCGCCACTTATGAGACACGGAGTTGATCCAGCTCGTCGAAGCTTTGTGCCGAAAACTGATCGCAAGGCTTTCGACATGAGAATCGACGAACTGGAAAAGAAGGTGAACATGAATAGTCTGAAATGTCCCTTCAGAACCCTTAAAAAGTGGTCCAAGCCCAAGGAGCATATGACGGAGTACGAGCAAAACTTCTGCAACGAGAAAAATCTGCAGAAGTTGTTCGACACCCTAAAAACTCTAAGAACCCAGTCCACCAAAGACAAGGAGGCGCCGAAATGCCTGCGAAAGCGAGTGAAGCCCTATGTACACTTAGAGGACTCGCTTACGAGACTGACCACTCTATCGAACCTCTATCAAACCCATGAGAAGGACGATCGCGCTTTATCGGTCAAGGAAGATCCGCCGAAACCGCCTACTGACTGGTATTTGAGACCACCATTGAATGATGATTTCTGCACTGAGCCAGATTTTCTTGTGGCGGAGAGTGTGCGACATGCTATAGAGGACATACTGAACTCCTTCGAGGGCACCTACATAGGCTGGTACATGCAGTTCCTGTCGGAGGAAATGACCCGACTCTCAGAACAGCGGAGGTTGCATGTACTGTCGGTTTTGGCCCAAAAGGAGCGCTGGCGGCGCGAGGCGGCCGAGGCAGGAATCAGGCAGAGGGAGAACGACATGCGGCGGCTGTACGAGGAAATGTTCCAGAAAACCAGCACTGTCAACCAACAGATTTCGCACGATTACATTAGAAGTATACTTACTACCGACATGCAGAACAACGCTCAAGGAGTTGCCGCCGAAACGACATCGCACCTGGCCAGACAGATCGACAGCGACATCGAGAGGTGGCTGGAAAGCTTCAAGTTGATCCAGAATCCCCTGACCTTCGTTCCCCTGCGAATGATGCTCAAGGACATGGTGTGTCCGGACGTGGACGCAGTTCTGCGTCACAATGAAAGCGTCATAGTTGTAAAACATGTAATGGAGGATGTGCTATTTCCGAAAATGTGGAATGAACTAGACCACTTCGATATTGCCTTCACGTTGACGAGCGACCTTATTGACCGGCTGATCGACAATGACCTCTACCTTTTCTCCACGGACAGCGAGAGTGAGACTCCACAGAAGCCATCCTGGTACGAGGCCGAGGCCATAGTTAGGAAGCTCATCCGACAGGCAGTGCCAGGGAGACGCTGGAAGGAGCAAAACGAACGGATAGTTTACGAAATCTACAATAGCCTCGTCGACAACCTTTTCTTTGAGATCCTGAACAACATGGAGCTTTCATTTTCGACCAAACCATTAATTGAACTGCGTCCGTTTATGTCGCACGGTGTGATTCGCTCTTCAGACGACATAAGAGCAAAGGAAAACGAAGATGTGCAGTCGATAGGGAACGTCAGCACACTGACATATTCCAAATTCATTCAGTCTAATGTACTGAACATTGTTAAGAAACGGAAGGGGGACAAGATCACACGGGAATTGGAAAACTTGGACCAATATGTGACCGATGATAAGTCCTTTGATTTCGACACACTCTTGAGAACCGAGGTAATCACACCAGCAGTCAATATATACCAAGCAAACAATGATATATTTAGCGTAAAAAGCACTCTTGACGTACCCGAAGAATACCAGTTGGAGGCACTCAAGGGCAGAGGCTACAGGGTGATGCTCCCCACAATGGCCGAAATGGATCCCGGTGCACTAAAGAACGCCGAAATGGATCCCGATGCAGTAAAGAATCAAGCTTCACTCGACTCGGAAAAACCGAAACACACACCCGCATCGTTTGAAAACCGAATGTTGAAAAACCAACTTTCGGGAGAATCATTAGCCAGTCGAACAGACAAAAGAGTTAGGGAAGTGTTAGAGATTGAAGATCATAAAAGAGAAAAAAATATAAAGGTAATTGGACTAGCGGAGGATCATTCTGGAAAAAAGGAGACACTCACATCCAGATCAGAAGAGGATCGAACAAATGAAAAGCAAATGGACTTTAGATCCGAAAATAATCTATCAGAAAAAGGGAAAACTCTTATTCAAGAATTGGAGACGGAACTGAAGGCGGAGGAGTCTGAACGTCGGAGCTACGAAAACATTGCGTTCGACTTAATAAACCAAATCTTAGGAGATAAAATCCAAGATGATACGAGTGTGCTGCATGAGAACCAAGCACACATGATGGAGCCAATCGGCGAAGAAGATACAAGCGTACTGCATGAGATCCAAACACATGTGATGCAGTCAGTTGGTGAAGAGGATACGAGCATGCTGCATCAGAACCAAATACACGTAATAGAGCCAATTGGTGAAAGGGAAAACGATGAAGAACAACAGGAAGATATCTTAGTGATGCACATGAACGACTCGGACATCAAGGAGGCCGGAAAAGACTCTACCTTCAGTCTTGCTTTCAACTCGGAGCGGCGTCCAGGTCCTAGCGATTCTGATGATTTGCCCACTTCTGCACCACCTGTAGATGACGGAGACCGACCTTTCGTAGCTGAAAGCCCAAGACCATTATCAGCAGAACCATCCGACCACTCTACAGTAGTTTACGAACACAGAGGCACAACTTCACGACTTAAGAAGTAATTAAATAAATATCACAATCGTATTGTAATCAAAACATCTTACACAAGAAACAATAAATTTTGATAAGCATATAACACTAGTGACTAGTCTATGGGAACATGACAAATAATTCCATCAAAGTAGCCATTGAAAAAGGGAAGGAAATTTCACCAAAAGTTTAGTCATTACTCAAACTCTAATATCCACAAAAACACACTTAAAAACTAATTACACAAAAACAATAATTAATTATTTATAAAAATTAAAAAAAAAATAGTTGCTGGAGATTACTGTTCAACAAAAAATGCAGAGACCAAAAAATAATCTTGTTAAGGGAAAGGTTCTTAGGTTTAATGCGAAAGAACGGAATCCACAAAGGAAAACACTAAAGAAAATATCGTCCAACTGCCCGCAGAATAACGTCCTGACAGAACAGGGCCAGGGCCTCACCTCATGTTTGATAACTACATGCCCAAATTTAAGAATCGAAGGAGGTAGGTTTAAAAGAAAAGAGGGATCTTACTTCAAATCAGGTTCTCTTTCTAGGAGCCAACGATCCAGCCAAACGCAGTGTCGGAAATCTACCTCGAACTGACAGCGAATGCCAATTTAAAGCTCCAGGAATCCTCTTCATGGCAAAGAAAAATACCACAATGTCTACCCACGAAGTAAAGATGGAAACCTTGGAAATAGAACCGAAGGCCAAGCCTATTCGCTCTTCAAACCAACAAACACAAACACTTTATAGGTAAGTTCCAATTAACAGAGGATGCACACATTCTCCAATAATTTCCCATTTTAGGGAGTCCTCGGCACAAACCCTGCCATACCTGCCAGAAGTTCTTGATAAGTTGGATGTACAAGAATTGGAACTGTTCTCCTTGCCAACTGTGCTTCCCGGAGACACGCCTCCGGGGCTCTTCGAAGTCGAGGTCCTGGAACGTTCGAAAAAGCGATGGGCCTTCAAAAATTCCCTCAACCAAAATATTAAAACATTTTTCAGAGATGTGAGGAAAAAAACCATAGAGCTACAATACCAGCCCATTCTGGAGGCATTGGAGTGGGAGCAATGGATCCAGCGAGAAGAGTACATCCAGGAGTGCCAAATGATGCGCCTGGAGATTGTGATCAAGATGTTCAACAAGCGGGAGAAGAAAATGCACTCCGCCTCCATGTCGCGGATTGAGAAAGCCTGCGAGGAAATCGAGAGGCGTCGCCAAGCCAGTTTGGGCAAGAATGAACGTCAATTCAATAGGGAGCTGCGCAAATTAAACGCCAAGAAGACCAAGTGGCGGAAGGAGAGCCCCCTGCAGGCACTGGGTAGCCCGTGCTCCGAGTTCTACGCGCCACTTTTGAGACACGGCGTCGATCCAGCCCGTCGAAGCTACTTGCCGAAAACCAAACGCAAGGCTTTCGACATGAGAATCGACGAACTGGAAAAGAAGGTCAACTTGAAGAATGTGAAATGTCCCTTCGCGACCCTGTCGAAGTGGTCCAAACCCAAGGAACCCCTTCAGGAGTACGAGCAAAACTTCTGCAATGACAAGAATCTGCAGAACCTATACGAGAGCCTAAAAAAGCTAAGAACCGCAGAACCTCAGCAAAAAGCGGAACCAAGATGTCTGGTAAAGCGTCCAAAAGCTGATCCAAAAGTCAGGACCGTAGGCTCCATTTTTAACCTAACCCGTTTTACGGGCCTGTACGAAGACGATGATAGTTTTCCAATCCACAGAAAGACCAAAGTGCCCCTAAATCCCCGCAGTCAAGGATTCCATTCTCAGTCCAAGCAGGAAATGGAAAAGTTAAGGAAAGAAACTGTGCGTCACCAATTTGAGGACATACTGAACTCTTTCGAAGGCACCTACATTGGCTATATAATGCAGTTTTTGTCGGACGAACTATCCCGCCTCAAGGAGCAGCAAAAGCTCCACTTTTATTGCATGATGGCCCAAAAGGAGCGCTGGCGACGCGAGGCCATGGAGAGCGGCTTACGCCAAAAGGAAAACCACATGCGACTCGTCTACGAGGAACTGTTCCAGCACTGCACATGGGCCCAAGGCAACGTTTCTGACAACTACGTAGAACACCTTCTTAAAACAGATGTCGACCATTGTGCTCAACAAGAAGCCACCGAGGTAATAATTGATGTGGCGAAACAAATCGACGCGGACATAGAAAAGTGGCTGGAAAGCTTCAAGGAGATCCAGAATCCCCTCACTTACGGTCCTTTGAGGAAGAATTGCATGGACATGATTCTACCCGACCCGGAAGCTCTACTAAGAGAAAAAGAAATCACCCAGATCGTAGAGTTCGTAGTGGAGGATGTGCTCTTTCCGAGAATTTGGGAGGAACTAGGTCCTTTCGATATTGGAACCACGTTGACGAGCGATCTGATTGACCGCCTGATCGACAACGATTTGTACCTCTTCTCCACCGACAGTGAAGATGACATTCCTCAACAGGAATCCTGGTGTGAGTCCAGGGCCATAATTAGGAAACTTATCCGAAGCGCAGTTCCGGAGCAGCACTGGAAAGGAGAAGTCGAACGGATTGTGTTTGAAAACTGCAGAGATCTTTTCGATGATGTTATTGACAAAATCATATCAAACATGGAGAATCCTGGGCCCCCCACCTTGGTAGATCTGCATGTCACCAAGTCTCAAAGCTTCATTACTCCAGCGGACGACATTAGACTGAAGGAAGGTATCTTCGCCCAGACCTTAGACACTGCAGTCTCCCTGCCGGATACAGATTTTATACGAATGCACATTTTGAATTTGATACAGAAAATTAAATGGGACACAGTCACGAGAAAACTGGAGAATCAGGACAATTATGCTGGAGACGAATTGTCCTTCATCTTTGACACATATCTTAAGTCCCAGGTAATAAATCCCGTCGAGGCGAGACAATCGGAAAATGTTCTCAATGACATATTCAGCGTATTAAGTTCCATGGACATTCCTGACGAAATCAGCTTAAATTTACTTAAAGGTAGTAAAATAAAAGTAGAAAAAGAAAATTATAAAGAGGCATACGAGGAGTCCGAGTACCTGTCATCAGGGACGATTGAATCAGGAACGGACTTTTCGGCACGGCAATCCGACGAGGATAGCCTTACCGGCGAAACTAAACATTCACAGGGTACACAAAGTTTAAAGCACTCCAAAAGTACAAGGTCGTTCATAAGGACCCCCTATTCGGACGACCTACAAAAGGTCCATGTATCATTGGATTCAAATAGCAAGTCATATTATGAAGAATGGAGAGGATCTGATTCAGATCCCACTAGCAAAACGGCAGGAGTGTCAACGAGCGCAAGTGAAATACAAATTCCAAATACCACATCTACTCGAACGCGTCGTGACGACCAAATATAATAGAACTTCTGTAATAGCCATTTAATAAAAATAACATGAGAATTAAAATACTAACTAATAAAGTAATAATAATTTAAACTTTCAGGGTTCAAAAAGGACTTCATATTTTTAATTAAAAACAAGAAAGGAAAGCTAACTTCGGGCGGAGCCGAAGTTGATATACCCTTGCAGTTAAAACCGGATATATATCGCAAGCATCGGACATCGTTTGCCGATCCTTATGAGAATACGATACTATAACCCAATGTATTATAATATAAAATCTAAAAAAAGTCCCAAACTTCTATCTTCTAAAGTACCAAAGTTTGTAATTCTACCAAAAACCATTTCCGATCGTTCAGTTATATGGCAGCTACAAGATATAGTCAGCCGGTCGTTATAAAATTTGGTAGGTCGGATTAAGTGACCAAAAATAGAATCTGTACTAAAGGGGCCCATCCACAGGCGAACATGTTCGGCGAACATGTTGTGCTCGACGAACTTTTTCCTGTGGATGGTAGTGTTCGTTGTCAAATTTTGTGTTTGTCAAAATGTTCGAATGGAATTGAAATCGTTCTATTTTGACAACGTTTGCAACAACATGCTCGCCAATGGATGGCAATGTTGGCACGAACGTCAGTTTGAAAAAACGTTTTGGTAGAGAAAAATGAATAAAAAGTGCAATATTATTTTGCAATATTATTTATGGCAAATACTTATTGCCATAAGTGCAATTAGAGTGCCGATGATGTTCGAAAAAATTGATCGATAAATGATGTTCGCACGAATTTTGGCTCTAGTTAGTGGGGAAAATGAAATTCAAGTAGGCGAGCATGTTGACGAACATGCTCGCCTGTGGATGGGCCCCTTAAGCTTTCTATCTTCAAAAACACGAAATTTCCGATCGTTCAGTTATATGGCAGCTATAAGATATAGTTCGCCGATCCTTATGAAACTTAGCAAGTCGTAATGTTTTGCCAAAAATAACTTTCATGTTAAATTTGAACTCTCTAACTCTGAAAACACCAAAGTTATACCCTTTCCGATCAATCAGTTATATGGCAGCTATAGGATATAGTCGACCGATCCCGGTCGTTCCGACTTATATACTGCGTGCAAAAGAAAGAAGGGTGTGTGCAAAGTTTTAAGTCGATAGCTTTAAAACTGAGAGACTAGTTCGCATAGAAACAGACAGACGGACAGACGGACATGCTCATATCAACCCAGGAGGTGATCCTGATCAAGAATATATATACTTTATAGGGTCGGAGATGTCTCCTTCACTGCGTTGCACACTTTTGGACAAAATTATAATGCAAGGGTATAACTAGATACTATAGAATTCAAACAAGATATTCCTATCGATGTGCCGATAAAAAGAGGAAATGTATTAAGGCATCCAAGTAGCCCTTTTAAAGACCCAAGTCATTAAAAACAATACGCACATGAAACACTTAAGACCCAGCACTAATTAAACAAAAATATACGTACAATAATTACACATTGGAAAGAAGCATTGGATACAATGTCAGAAAGAAAACGAACATTGATGAGGGAAAATATAATGAGGTTCCTTTTGGAGGAAAGAGCACTTGCACCTGAAAAACCGCCAACTCCCATTTCTTCCCCAAGAAAAGGGAAGGAGATGCCGAAACAAACCACACCTAGTAGGCATAGGGTAGACTGCAACCTGTCCAAAAAATACGCGAAGCCGACTGCCCAGAGCCTGTCGTCATGTCTGACCACCACTGCGCCCATCATAAGAATGGTCGGGGGTAAGTTGGTGGATAAAAAGTTTGACAGGATATTCCAAACCACTTCTTTTAAGGGGCCAACAATCCGGCGGAACGAAGTGTCGGAAAACTGGCACAAACCGACAGTCAATGTCAACTAAAAGCACCAGGAATCCGATTTTTAATGAAAAGGAACACTATTTTAACCACGCAGGAGGTGAAGATGGCAGCACCAGTTATAGAAGAAGTAAGGCCAACATCAAAATGCAATACATCAAAAATACTGGACAACCGACCATTCAAGGATCAAAGGACCCAGACACTCTATAGGTAAGATGGGATTATTGAAAGCGTGTGTATTCACAACTTTTATTTTAGGGAATCCTCGGCACAGACCTTGGCATACCTGCCAGATGTTCTAGACAAGAAGCAAACCTTAGAACTGTTTTCTTTACCTTCAGTGCTCCCTGGGGAGGGGCCCCCGGGTCTAAGGGAGGTCGAGATCCTGGATCGTGCCAGGCAGCGCTGGAAGTTCAAAGAAGTCCTCAAGACCAATTTGAATATCCTTCGGAAAGATGCCAAGGAAAATGCCATTAAGTCCCAGTACAAGCCCCTTCTAGAAGCTTTCGAGTGGGAGCAGTGGATCCAGCGCGAGGAGTACATCCAGGAGTGCCAGATGATGCGCCTGGAGATTGTGATCAAGATGTTCGACAAACGGGAGAAGCAAATGCACTCCGCCTCCAAGTCGCGGATTGAGAAAGCCTGCGAGGAGATCGAGAAGCGCCGCCAGGCCGCCTTACAGAAAAACGAAATCCAGTACAACAGGGGAATGCGCCGCTTGGAGATGACCCTTTCCAAAATCCCCCGAAAGTGGGAGAAGCAATCCCCCTTGGAGTCCCTTGGATCCATGTGCTCTGAGTTCTATGCACCGCTCTTGCGACACGGAGTCGATCCAGCCCGTCGAAGCTTCGTGTCGAAAACTAAACGGAAGGCTTTCGACAGGAGAATCGACGAACTAGATGCCCAGGTCAAAATGAGCAATCTGATATGTCCGTTCAGAAAACTCAAGGACTGGTCCAAGCCAAAGGAACCCATCAGGGAGTACGAGCAAAACTTCTGCAATGAGGAAAATCTGCAGAATCTCTTTGAGGACCTCAGGACACTTAGAACTCAAACAAACGAAAACAAAGAAGAACCAAAGTGCCTCATAAAACGGCGGAAACCATTTGTGCGCCAGGACGGCTCTGTCTTTGACTTCTCCTACTTTGGCGGACTCTACGACAAACCCGGACCCGGAATGGAATCGGTGAGATCGGATAGAAATAGAAAGACCGTATTCGAGTGGAGTTCTAAGGGATACACGGTGATGCCTGAGGGCAAAGTTGAATCAATGAAAAGGGACAGATATAAAAATGATTTGGAGGACATACTGAACTCTTTCGAAGGCACCTACATAGGCTGGGTGATGCAGTTCCTGTCGGACGAAATGTCCCGCCTCCTAGAACAGAGGAAGCTCCACTTTTTCTGTATGATGGCTCAGAAGGAGCGCTGGCGGCGTGAGGCAGCGGAAGGCGGACTGAGGCAGAAGGAGAACGACCTTAGGTTCCTGTACGAAGAACTGTTCCAAGAGATCAACTCGGCCAATAACGAAGTCGCTACAGAGTACATCGATACTATTCTGGACACAGATGTCATTTACGAGACCGAAAACCAGTCTATCATTTCGGTGACTCATATGGCGAAACAAATCGACGCCGACATCGAGCGATGGCTCGAGAGCTTCAAGTTAATCCAGAATCCGCTCACCTTCGTTCCTCTGCGAATGATGCTCAAGGACATGGTAAGTCCCGATTTGGATGCAGCGCAACGCCGCCACGAAAGCTCCCTGATCGTCCAGCACATTTTGGAGGATGTGATCTTTCCGGGTGTTTGGGAGGAACTAGATCCCTTCGATATTGGCACAACGCTGACGAGCGACTTGGTTGACCGCCTGATCGACAACGATCTGTACCTCTTCTCCTCGGACAGCGAGGACGGTATTCCCCATAAGCCATCCTGGTACGAGGCCAGGGCCATCATCAGGAAGCTCATACGACAGGCCGTTCCGGGACGCCGTTGGAAGGAGGAAAATGAACGATTTGCCTTCACCATCTTCGACAGTTTCCTCGATGACTTGTTCGCCGAAATAGAATACCGCTATGAGAACCCCGCACCTGTGAGACCAAATGACATAACCCTACTGCGCGAAGCTCAATCTCATAACAAAATTGAATATGGTGATGATATTCGAAAGAAGGATGCCATTGATCTATCTGAATTTATAAATATGCCCTCCTTATCGGATACAGAATTGAAGAAAGCACAGCTCTTAACACTGATCAAGAAAATGAAATTGGATAAAATTACCATGGCTTTAGGCAACTTGGACGCTTACGAGGAATCGGACCCCGACTTGGAAGTGGACATTTTTATAAAATCAGAAAAGATCAGCCCCATTAGGAATTTACAACCATGTTTGAGCGAGGTTTGCAGCATAACAAGCACTATGGATCTCCCCGACGAAGAACACTTGGAAACTTTTAAGGGCCATAGTAGAAGGAATACCAGGGAAATCGATGTAGATTCTACTGTGTTTGAAGTTGAAGGAATCATTGAAGATTTCGCTGTCGACGACGTTGTAGAGGAGAAAAAAATCGATGTGTCCGAGCCGCTGCCTGAACCTACGGAGGAGTCGTCGGTATATCTTAGTAACACGTTTGTTCAAAATTTCATTGATCACGACGCTCGGGAAACGATTGAGAAGCGTCAAATCAAGAATCGGAAAAAAAAACCTACAACCAACCAGATCCAGCCAACCCGATCGGTCATAAAGTTACCTGAAACTGGCACTGAAAGCGTGGAAGTGGAAATAAAAACAGGAACTGAAAATGTTGATGTGGAAATAAAAACAGGAACCGAAAATGTAGATGTGGAAATAAAAACAGCAACTGAAAGTGTGGATGTGGAAATAAAAACGGGCACTGAAACAAGGGGGCCCTCGACTAAGTGGGAAGGACCTAGGAAGACATTCTCGGTGATAGATCCTGTAGACGCCGACGGCCGCCATTCGGTAGTCTCGCATGTATCTGGGGAAAGGCGCAGTCGCAGTCTGAGCAAGAGCATGCACCAAATGTCTTTCATAGATCTGGACAACGAAGAGCCTCAGTCTGGTCAAACGAATTCCATATTCCAAAGCCTGAATGCCCCGGTGACCGAGCAGATCAGTGACGACGAGTTGGAGATTCTACAACACGAAAGAAAGACACTGATCGCAAAAAGTGGCTCAAATCTGAACTCGGAACCAAAAAATGTAAGCGAATAGTCGCCCAGAATTCGGTTACTGATTCTATTTTAGACAATTCCCCTTACTAGTCATTGTTTAAAATCGACCATGCATTCCCAATAAATGCTGAGAGAATAATACATTAAATATATTAGCATAAAAATACAATGTTCTGTTTAATCCGACTACTCACCTTTGATACCCTTCCTGAGCGTAATCAGACTTGTTCGAATGGTATTCAGAAGCACGTTGAATCGCACCATCTCCTGGACCAGCACGGTGTTCATACTCTGATGGTACAAGGTCGGATACTTGAGCAAGGCGGCGTCTCGGTCGAACAGCTTGGGCAGCTTCTGTAGGATGTCGGTGGCCACATTGGTGACGACCTCCTCGGGTGTGAGGGCCTTGGAACTGCCGCTGTCGTCGCCGCCCGAGCTGGTGTCCTGCAGGGGGATTTGGTACATGGCGAGGAAGGGGGGACAAGTGGGATAAGTGGGTAGGGATAGGTTCTCGGGGAAGCGTGTACTAATCGTTTCTACATAAACCCTTTGTTTTTTCACCAGTTTCTGAAGCGTAGCATGTCAATGAATGAGAAGAAGCTATAAGCAATGTTCAATGTCTCGAAATAAATGTATCTCTACTTACGCGTCGCTCATAGAGGTCCTTTTTGGGAATTTTAAAAAGAGTGTAAATTGCAATGCATTTTTTAAAAGTATTTTAAATGAGTCTTACCCAGCGATCCTTTTTTGAGGCAAGAAAAAAGTGTAAAAAATAGTATAGTGTGATTGAAGGCTACCGAGGCTTAAATCTTCCATTAAAATCCGCAATTACAACTAACATTGAACAACTACTACCCGGTACTCACCTGAGTTAGTAAAGTGTGCGAGAGCAACATATCCGTCTCCTTCTGGTCCCTCATTATGTCTGCATTGGCATGGAATCCAAAGATGGCCGGCGACGAGATTTGCGGCAACTCACGGGTGTAATTCAAATACAAGTCCACCTCCTTGAACACCGGGATGTAGTACAAGCCACTGTCGTCGAGGAAGTGCGGCTTCTCCAGATCAATGATCTCGGGGCAGTAGTATCTGTCCAGAATGGTCCTCAGCGTGCGGCGATCCCAGTCATCAGTGACACGTCCTCCGTAGTTGCACTCACCTGTCAAGTACCGCAGAGCATCGTAGTTGACGGTCTCGTATTGGTTGAGGAACATCCGCAACTGCATCAGGGATATCCTGAGATCCGTTTCGTTGAACTCATAGGGAATGTTCCAGCCGATTGGCCCAAAGTACCGCCGCTCCTGGATGACGGCGTGGAAGAAGCACAGCGAGTAGATCAATTGCTTGAAGATCCTCGGCTGGGTGCAGGACTCATACCACTCCGGGTCGCTGATCGGATCACTGATCATCGAGCGCATGATGTTGGAGCGCAGGCCCTTGGGTGGTTCGTTGGTCATTTTGATGCCGTTCTGAAGCACCACCACCGGGAAGTGCTCCGCCGGGTAGGAGGTGAGCCACAGCCTGAAGTCCGGATGCGTGGAATCCGGCAGCAGGTTCTCACAAATCTTCTCCAGGGAGGGCATGAAACTAGCCGCCAAATGGCAGTTCTGCAACACCACCCAGTTGCCCATTTTGACGCCTTCGTCTATCATCTTCATGGCAATGGGTCCCTGTCCCTGGCCCAAGGACAACGAGAACAAACGATTGGTGCCGAAGCCCTGGTCCTCGGCAAACTTCAAAAGCGTAGCCGTGGGATCCGAGCCGGGGGTCAAGACGAATATCAACGGAACACAGCAGTGCGAGTCACCAAAAGAAGCTGCAAGATCGAATTGCGGCGGATCCACAAACCGCTGGCCCATTTCTCCAGACACGAAATTGAGCACAGCCGGCACCAGCTTATCCGGCCGGAAGACCCGAAGAAGCAGTAGTTTCTGGAATACAGTTAGACGCTTTTCCCAGGCGGGCGGGACTTCCTTGAAATCCTGTGGCATTTTAGAATCAAAAAACAATTTAAATATGCCCGGATTGTCGGTAAAGTTCTCCCGAATGCCACTAAAGTTGGGCAAATTGGTAAGGCGACAGAGCTCATCCCAGTTCTGGACACCCAGCCAGGTTGTGGGGTTTTTGTGGGGATTCTCCAGGCCAATGCCACCTGTCAAAAGGAACATCCATTCGGCATTGTCAATCCTGTTTTCGTGCTTCATCATGTTGATGTTCAATATGAGCGAAAACAGCAGCTTATCCTGTTCAGAAAGTAAGAAAATTTCATTACACTCGAAGAATATGGAGGGTATTACCCAGATTTAAAGTTAGTTTTAGGAAAGAAGACTCCATAAGAATGTTGTAAAGTGTAAAATGTGTGTTGCGATGTGATTGGGGTCCTGAGGGTCAGGGTTCAGAGGCTCACTCGGGCATTAAATGGGCTGTATGGAAGGGTTATCCAAAGAAATCAAAGCAAGGCTGCTTCTCTGATAGTCGTTTTTTTTGCGCAAGCAAATTAAAAGCAAGGGATCAAAGGTCAGGTCGGTAAAAGGGCGACCCACATGGGTGGGGGGGAAAAGGGCCATAATTGACTGAAAACAGCATAAAGCCCTAGAACCGGTTTAGATTATTACTTTCTTTTGGCTAGGTCATCTTTTGATAGCTGCAGCAGGGAAATTATGTTATTCAGGCTCAAAGGATGGACGGTGGGTGGAATAAATGATGAAAATCAGTTTGAAACTCAAAGGAATCGTCCTTGGCAGGAGTATTTACTGCTGCTGGAACTACTTTGGCCGCTTGAAGGGACTGTGATTACAATGTACTTGTTCAGCTGACCGACTTTAATGTCATTTAACTGCAAATTCGCGAAAGTCAAGTCCAACCAGGATCACAAAGCAAATGAAACGCAAAGGACAACCTCGCTTCAAATGTCACATTATCCGATTATGCGCAATTACGGGACTAACAAGGCTAAAGGACACTGCCGGATTACGGTTGGACAAGCGGATGGACAACGTTTGACGGTAATTGGGTTCATCCAATGGGCACTCACACGCTCGAACAGACTGCGACAGATGTTGACGTAGAGGCTGTAGGTGAAGTGATTCCGCAAATCCAATAGACGTGCCGCAATGTCGTCCACCTTTTCCGTGTTATCAATCGACGACATGTACAGATTGACGAACCACACCAGGCTGTACTGGTACATGGGATCAATGTTGGCCAACTCCACTGAAAGAAGCGATTAAAACAGGTGCCAGTTTTGTAAAAGACAAGCTATCACCTATCGTAAAGAACAATATGGTCGAGTGCTCGGCTATGGGCACATAGCTCAAGCGGGCAATGTCGATCTGCTTCTCGGTAGCCTCCGTAATAATCTGCTTCTCGCTGATGTCATTGGCCAGGGCCTTGGCCGAGCTCAGAATCTGAACAGCCGTCTCGTCCTCCAGAATGTTCTCGGCTGAGGAGAGTACCTCCAGAATCTGGTCCTCAGTCTCCTTCAACATGCGCTTGTTCTCCGCTCCCTGGACAATCAGGTTGTTCTTTTCCGCCTCCAGATCAGGACGTTCTCGGGCCACCGTTATGCCCAGTAACTGATCCTGCAAGCCCTGATTGGTGATCATGAAGTTTAGCAGGGTCACCTTCACAGCCACCTCGGGCAGGTAATGGGGATTTCGCAGTTTGGTGGTCATGTAGAATCTGTAATAAGGATTTTAATGAAATCACAATGTAATACATTTGATGGCCAATATCCTGCCAACCTGAAACTGTGATTATACTCAATCACAGAGTCACCTAGCTTGATGCAGAGTGCTCCGCCCTGCTTGAACAGTTGCTTCAGCAGAACTGACTCCAAAATGGGATCCAACTCCTCGCCAATGTTTTCCAGGAGCACCGGCAGCCCAAACTGTATGGCGTTCTCCATGACTCGTGTATAGTCGGCCTGGTTGAGACGAATCACACACAGCTTATTGTTCTTCTCATAGTTTTTGATCCATTTGTTGGCCTGACCCTGAGGATCAATCATCAGAGGCCAGCGGCGGGCATTCCTGTAATTGGGATTCGAGGCATTATTTTAATAATGTGTAGTGGGGCGTGTACTTTAAATGATAGAAATAATATTAAATGCATGCCATTTGTCAACGCAGACCCATCAGTCGAAGTTGGGAATATTAAAAAAGAAAATACCGCATAAATACACATCCAATATTTACGTCAATAATTCATAAGCGTAAATAATGCTATAGAAATACATATTTTCAGTTCGCATTATTCGAATGTATCAGTGGAGTGTAGGGTGTTGGGTGTAGGGTGTGTGTGGTTTATGTGGTGGGTAGTGTTGTTGTGCAAGCCTGTCAGTGTGTGTTTTGTGGGTTTCGCAATAAGAGGAAAACCTCTGGCTTCAAATATGCCAATACATCATGCAAAACGTTAAGCCACAAACAGAACTGAATTACAAAAGGACTTCGACTAGGGTGGGGTTTTTTTTTACATTAAAGGATAGTATTTAAGAAATATTAATGCAAATTTTTATAAAGCCATATAAAAGAGCCACTCCCATCTAGATCAAATGGAATTAAAATTTATTTAAAAACCCTTTCCACTTAATGCCTAAGCCTCTGATTTTCTACACACACATATTATATAGACTAGTGTGTACATCGATTGCGGTTGTTGTGTATGTTGGACACAGCATATACCTATATATTTAAATACATATGTATGTACATAAAGCTATAGCTGCTGCGATAACTCACAACCACGGCGGGATAAAAAATGGGTTTGGGAAACCGGGCATAAGCATTGGGAGCGACCAAAAAAAAAAATAGAGATTGGGAGGGCGGGAAAAAAACAACAATAAGTTGCAGCAGTGGCAACCTAGACGGCGGCAGGAACAGGAGCAGGATCCAGAGAAGCAGCAGCCAACACATGACAAATTCACACCGAATACAAATTGCTCGTGCGAATGAATGAACATTTTTGTAAATTGAAAACTTGATGAATGAAAAATATTTGATGGAAAAACAAAAGAGCAATGTTCCTTTGCATTCGGCGGTGGCAGCGAGTGTTCCCGACAAAAAAGACAACTATAAACGGAAAGCCCCAACAATTTTTAAACAAGGAATTTCGCTCGAAACCCCCATACGATATGTCTGGACACCAAATTCACCAGGATCCCCGATGGGGAGTGGGTCCCGGGTAGGCAGTTGCCATGTGAAAAATTGTGAAAGTTCAAAGCGCATCACCAGGGACCGTGAATGCATAGGATTCAAACAGAGATAGAATTGTTTGTCGCCAAAAAAAAAGGAAATAGTTATGAGAATAGTTTGACAAAAAGAATGAAATGGCGTTGCATTGTGTATTGGCTGAGAATCTGTTGAATGGAGTTTGGGATTTTTCCACTTTCCCATAGTAGAAAAAAAACGTTCGACAAAGAGAAATATATTTTTGCAGAATTCCTTGAAATTCCTCGCAACAAAACGAGTACATAGATTCTTATTTGAAAGAACACTCTTTTAAATATTAAAGTAGTCCACTGTTTTCTACTTTCCATATCACTTAAACTACAAACAGCCCTTCTCTCCATGATGATACTTAAAATTCAGACCCTTAACAAGCTCTACAAATTGTTTCTGCCTTTTTCGAATTAACATTATTTAATCAAAAACAGGGTCCTCGAATTTCAGATGACTGGCATGACCCTAAAACCGGCTGGCGAAACGAAAACATCCGCACCTGATACCCCCGATATAAAAGGGAATGGCTTTTTACGATGCTGAAGGCGGTCACCATATGGGCTACGTGTCACCCGAAATATTAAGCAAATGAATGTTAATAGTAAAGACGACACGGGGACATCCCTGGCGAGGTGGCGCCACCCTCCTCCCAGGATGTTTGCCAAATACAAATACACAGGCAACTCCATGTGTGTTCCATCATGCAGGATAGACAAAAGCCCGAAACTAGAGAGGGCAAGTCCCCCAGGATGTGCAATCGTCTATCGCTATCGTATCCTTGTATGTTCTGTTCTATCAACTACCCCTCTGGCCTGCGTAAAAATTAAACCTAATCCGCTCTGGGCGCACATTAATCAATTGCTTATACAGGACGAAGAGTCTGAGACTCGAGTTGCCCTTGCTGCCCGCATCCTTGGTTCGCGTTTTGTCCCCCTGCCCTGGCTCCTGCTGAATCGCATTCGGAAAACCGATGGCCCTCAGGTATTTTCGGGCATGCTCCAAATTACTTTGAACACTTTCGTGGAAAGCAGCCAGGAATTTCCTTTATTAAATCGACATGGAGTGGCTTGGAACGAACCAGCGAGCAACCGGCCTGGAGTGGCATGTGGCCTCCCGTCCTCTGACCTCCGAGAAACTCACCAGATGCGTAATATACGCATCTTACATGAAAGCCTCCCTCCCGCCTTAAAAGCCCTTTTACACAGAGAGAAATCGGGACAAAACAAGAGGACTTTACAAAAATACTTAAAATTAGTGAATATTTTAAAGAAAATAATAAAAAAGAATAGTTTTTAGGGGAACATTAAATAAATCCCTAAAAAATCAATAATTTTCTCTTTGTGTAATTTCCATTTCCCTTGCCCTTTGTACCTTTGACGGGGACTAGGGCCACAGCATCCACCACCGCGATGGCGTGTCCTGGCAACGAGTCCTTCTGGCCGCATGCGGGTGTGTTGCCTAATGCGCGCATGCAACCCCCCTCCATCCGCCTCCTCTATTCCGCCTAAACAGCTACCCCAGCTACCCAGCTTCCATTCCGCGCTACCGTGCAGCATCCGGTGCCGTTCTCACACTCGCAGGCGTATCTTTAATTTTCCTAATACGCGTGAATTCTAACGTTTTATGTTTTGTAATTAGAAAACGAAGAAACACAACAGGGCGACTGGCAAAAAAATAAAAAGGAGCCACGACTGCCGTGGATGCCGTGCCGCTGACAAGCGCGGTGGCAGGGTCGTAATTACCGTGTCAGGTTGTTTAATTGATGCGAGTCGGCTTAGCGATCGCACGGGGAGCAGTGCCAGATGTTGCCACAACTTGTGGTTACAAAGTATAGAAGTTGAGAAATGGTGGCAATAAACCCCAATCCGTAGACAATGATTAAAAGTATTAATTGTACCAACAAACCAAACAGAAGAGGTCCGCCCTTTCCACAAATTAAATTAATAGTGTGGTCCGTAATGAATAACTCACTTCATCATAATGGCACTCTCCACTGAGAAGGCGTCCGTGGGCAGGCCGCATATGTTCCAAAAACGAATCTCAACCGGTTCTCCGAGGACCACGGCCAGCTGGAAGTCGGGGGTGCAGGTTACACCATAATCGAGGCACTTTTTCACCCACGCCTTTATCTGGTCCAGTCGAAAATCAATGGTGAAGGGTCCCAAATAGGCCACCACGCCGGACGAGATCAGCACGTCCCCGGTGACGCTCTTGAAGCTAGCCTGTAGGTTTTTGGCCGTCTCCGACCACCGAGTCCTTTCGCCGCCCAACCCAGAGATGAGCTCCTGGGCACGCTGCAATTTCTTGGTGCAAGCCTCGTGCTCCGCCAGCAAGATTCTAAAAGAAAAAGTTCATTAGTATAGTATATAGAAAGTATCGGAAGATAACTCCACCCGTATTGACGCAGCTGCTCGTCTAGTATCTTCTGGATGGCTGCCAGATTGGCCTCCACCCTGGCCAACTGGGCCAGCTTCTCGTTGAGCGTCTTCATGGCCGCATTGTAGGTGGCCTCGGCCTCCGCCAGGGCAATCTTTTTGGGCGCCACCACCTTGGCCACCACGTCGTATTTGGTCAAGGCGATGACCCAACGGCACAAACCTTCGCAGGCCGTCGAGGCGCTCTTAATCTTATCCGGATCGAATGCCTCGTTGTTGAGAATTCGCTGACCCAACTTCTTCATCACCTCGGGCGGAATATTATCCTTATCGAAGTTGAGCAGACTGTCCAGGAACTTCATGTCGCTGAGCACACGTTTCGAGGGCCCCCAGTAATCCTCCACAGTGCCCACGCCACTCGGATTAGGCACCTTATCCGGCTTCACGTCTTTGAGAATACAAACGGCTTCCATCACAATCTTCACGCCAATGGGCGGGCTCTTCATGGTCTTGACCACAGCAATATCGGCAGTGGTCAGGGTGTTCAAGGCGGCCAGGGCTGACTCAAGAATGGGCAGGGCTTCACCCAGTTTCGCATCGCACTCCTCTTTGATTTCCTGGGCCACCGCCGCCTGTTCCTTGGCAGCCATCTCGTCCATCTTGACTATTTCTCTCTGCTCCTCGGCCAGCTTGCTGTCCGCCGTGACTTTGGCAACCTGCTCGGCCACAATCTCGGATGCCTCCTTCAGCTTGGGCTCTAGGGCAATCAACTGCTCCTGCATCACAGCCACCTGCTGGGCAGCAATGTCCAGCTGAGAAATGCCAGTCAAGTAGCGGTTTCGGTTCGTGGTAATGTTGCTATAAAGGACAAAGATGCCATTTAATATCCCAATTAGAATAAACACTCACTTTCTCTTTTGACTCAGCAGCGCCTTAAAGGTCTGAATCAACTCCAGATACGAGGTCGGGGTGACATAGTTGTAGCGGTGCAGTCTCGAGAAGAATTTGGCGGACAAGATCTGGGTGGAGATGTGGAACTCCATGCACATATCGATGGCTGTGCGACGTTCCAGGGCAGTCAGATCCTCGCTGGCCAGGAAACGAGATGACACCGCCAGCAGAGCATCCTCTGGCCAGGGTTGGAACCAATCAATGGTACAGCAGTTGACGATCGAAGGGAACTTTCGGATGCGGGTTCTCAAAGCCTCTCCAATGGGCGACATGGCCAGCACAATGTGGAGCTGGTCTTTACAGGTCTGTCGGGTAAGGAAATATATGTTATAACACGGTAAGATAATAGTGTAAAGACGGATTGACCGACTTTTCTGAAAAAATATTTAAAAGATAGATTAGAGATCGGACAAGAGAAACGACTATAGTCGGGGACTCTAATAAATCTACTACTAGGATGAATCATAGGTCATTTGTATCCCACCGTGACGAAAAAGTTAAAGAGAGCCACTGGAGAGCCATCGGTTTGGACAGCTTTGTCCCTCTGCTTGTCAATCTGGGCCATCTTCTCCACCACTTCGATCTTCTCTTCATTGGAGAACAGATTGGGCACTTCGCCGGAGTTGAGCAAATTGTTGATGTCCTCCAGGAAGGATTCGTCTTTGATCTGAAAGAGTCTAAAAGAGTTAGCGAGACCAAGACCACCCCAAAAGAATACAGTCCAATTGCCAATTGTGACGCTTCCCCACCTGAACGTCCGTAAAGAGGAAGACGCCGTGCATCTCGGATGCCCCAATTTTGCGTAGGATGGCCTTGATGTCCTCGTGGTATTCGTACGGCCCATACAATCGCGTGATTTCCACCTGGAACAGCTCATAGTCGCATATATGCGAAGCCAATCGAGTCAAGCTCTGGCGTCCGGATCCTCCGACCCCGATGAGCAGAGCATGGCTCCTCGGCTGCTTTATGATGCGGCATATGCGCGACAAATGCTCAATGGCGAAGCGGAAAAGCACCAGATTCATGGGCTTCTTCGACATGTTGTTATACTCCACCAGATACGCCTCAACCACACGCCGCAGTTCCTCCAGGTCCTGCACCTCCACATAGTTCTTGGTGTCCGCCTTCGGGTTGGTGAAGTCACAGTAGATAAGCTGCCGGAAGTCGGACTCCTGCAGCTGTTTGTCCTTCTCCACCAAGCGGCCGAACAGCCGCGAGGGATCCGTATTGAAGGAGCTCTTCACTGTGGAGCAAAGGTTTTCGAACAGCCAGGTACGATCCCCATCCTCCACCAAACGATCGCCATACACCCGCAGCACCTCATGCACCCACAGTCGCCGCATGGAGTTCACATCCTCGGTCGCCTCCGGCACGGACAGCAGAACCCCCTGAATAACCCTCGAGAAATCGCGTAAGTTGAAGAGATAGTGCGACTTGGCGGGGGTGGGAAGCAGATTCAGTTTGGCGTCATTGTAAATGGTCAGAGTGGCACCCACGATCTCGTCAATGCAAGGATCGAACTCCTTGGAGAAGCCCCTGGGATTTGGTTAGGATTAGGTGATTGGAATTTCAGAAAAAGAAACAAAAGGATGCTGACATTCAAAGGAAATCAAGGATTACTTACCTAGTGTCCAAGTGCCAGAGGACGATCTTACTGAAAATCGTGGTCATGATCTCGTTGTTGAAGTCATCGATGCCTATAACGTTAAAGAATCGCTGGAAACGAGGCGTCACCGTGTTGCCTGTGGAAGGAGGACCCATGGCCGTGATCATCTGCAGATCAATCAGTTTCATGGGGATTATGTTTTTCCGGTCGTACCACATCATGTGGTCGAGCATCATCCGGAGCAGCTCAATGGGAGGCTGGGCGCCGTAGTTCTCCTTCAAAGGCATGGAAACATCGTCCACGAAGATCACGAAACGGCTGTTGAGCGGTGGACCGAAGACGCCCTTCCGTCGTTTGTCCAACTTGGACATGATGATGTCCTGTGTCTGGTTGGCGGAGGTCTGGGCCGAGAAACTGATCAGCAGGGGCTTGTATACGGACAAATCCATTTTCTTCAGCATGTAGTCGATCACGTAGACACTCTTCCCTGTGCCGGTGGGGCCCACCAACATCAGGGGCTTTCCGTGGCGCACCAGGAGGTCCAAAACAGCACCGATTCGAACGCTCTCGTTGGTTTGGATGATGATCTGATTGACGGGAATATCGCGAGGAATGGGCGGCGCCGAGTTGACATCGTCCTGCCAAGGCTTCCACTTGCCCTTGCCCTCCTTGATGTACCTATAATCGAACACCGAACCCTGCTTGGGTATCGGGAATATGAACGGCTTGGGCAGGGTCTCCACGTAGAGGTCCTCGGTGACACCATACATCTCGTACAGACTTTCCGGGAACGTCTTCTCCATGAGAGCTCTGAACACAATGTTAAACTTCTCACGGCTGTCAGCATCCAAGGCTCCGCCGAGGGCCCAAATGCAAGAGAACAGGAATATACCCTCGGTCTGGGCCCGGAAATCCAAGTCCGATATGTTAGCCACATACTTCTCGTCCCTGAAGTCGTCTATGAAGCACTCGAAGAAGTTCATCAGGCTGACCATTAGGTTGGCGTCCGACGTGGGGGCGATCTCCCTCAAGCCTTTCCGCACAATGTACAGCAGGATGGGGCAGAAGCGTGAGACCAGCATCGATATCAGTTGCTTGCTGACCGTGTGGAAGGCGGCGGGCAGAGTGTTCTTCCACGAGGCCACCAAAGGCTCCCATCCCAATGAACTAGGCTCCAGATAGATCATTCCGCATCTGGACACTGTGGCCGGGGAGGCCACCTCCAAGTCCATGGGCTCAAACACCAGATTCGTGGTGTTTGATAGCTGGATAATCTCGCCGGACATCAGACAGAGCTTCTTGTTGTCGTCCAGTACAGTGTTCATGTTCTCGATCCAAATGGCGTCCACCGGCCCATCGAAGATCAGCCACTTGCGGTCCGGCGAATCCGACACGGCAAAGATTCGATAGTTGACCGCCAGAATGCCATCGCTCCACTCATGGGACACCGCATCGAACTGGCCGTACAGCTGGCCCATGGTAATAGCCTTTGGGTTGATCACCGTGTAAATGGCTTTGTTCTCGGAACCATCCTGGGGATTAAATAACGTGATTAAGGATACATAGCAGTATGTTGAAAAGCTTTACCGTCTTCTCCATGCATTCCAGTGCCTCTGCTAGGACACGGTACGTTGTAGATTTCCCGCCAAAAGGATAGCCCACCAACATCAGGCCATGTCGCACCACGATCATCTCGTACAACTAAAAGTATGCAAGTAAAAATAAGAATAAAAGATAATATCCTTAATGACAAGATATAGTAGGGCCTCACCTGTTGAACTTTCTCCAAAACAAAAGGAGTACATTGTTTGTTTTGTTTCTCGCAGGCTTGCTGGGTGCAACGATTGAAGAGGACATAGTCCGCTTCGGGTAACACAGTACCCGGGAACAAATCGGAGGTGATGCCCTGGAAGAGGGGAATATCCTGGTTCAAGAACTTTGGCAAATTGACGTCCTTGATGGAGCGCAACACTAGAATATTCTCGTTTTCGTCGCGGTAGCGAAGCTTCAAGGCACCGGCTGCTTTCAGTACAGATTTTACGGCTCGCATTCCGTAATCGTAGTGGCACTGGGTACTCAACTGCTCCGAACAGAGTCGATAGGTGGCCACGATCTTTACGGAAAGCGGCTTGGCGGTAAGGAAACCGTAGGAGTACAATTCGATCTCAGAGATCAAAGCATAGTCCGGCACCATCATGGCCACGGAACGGAACAGTGCCTATAAATTAAAGGATAAGTTTTCTGCCGAGATCTTTAAAAGAGTTTCCTTACCTTCAAGTTGTCTGGTAATTCGGATCTTCCAGCGTAACCTGGATTCATGGTAATAAACACGGCACAAGTGGGATCCAACGTCAAGGTGGTGCCCTCAAAGATCAGCGTAGGACTACCAGAGTTGATGCCCCGCTGAATGGTTAGAATCTGCTGAGCCACCACCGACAACACCTCCAGATCGATGCGGTTGAACTCGTCGAAGCAGGACCAGGCTCCACAAGAAGCCAATCCCTTGAAGAACTTACCCAGGGCTAGGTAATCCAAGCCATCGGAGCAATTGAACACAACACACTGCTTGGCAACGGCCTTGGCCAAATCCTTGGTAGTCTCCGTCTTGCCAGTGCCGGCAGGACCTTCGGGAGCACCGCCCAAATGCAGATTCAGGGCTGCAAACAAGGTGCGGTAGCAACGATCCGTCAGCGGAGTGACCACCAGACGAGGAGTGTTTCCAAGGTACTCATAGCCATAGGGCAGCGAGCAGTTGATCATGCGTGTGTCCAGGTTGTTATCCTCCCAGTAGTAACGCAGCTGGCAAAGCCATTGGAAGTCCTGCAAATGAAAGGAAGTAAGTGGATTAAATCAGAGGTATTGATGATTCCATTGAGAAAACCCCACCTGCAAATCCTCCACTCCATTAGCCACAATTTCGGCCAGCACATCGCGGGCATGGACATCCAGCACCACGAGTGCGCCCAGAGTAATCCGATTCTGGGTGTTGAGGTCTCCGCGCACCAAGTCCACAATCTTGTTGATCTGCTGGATGCACTTTTGCAGATACTTGGCTAGGTTGCCTTTGGGATCTTCACTCTCGAAGCACTCGGTGATCTCCAGAGTCCAGTAGGTCAGCGAAATGGACTGGACACTCTGGCCAGGCCAGGTGAGCACCCAAACGTGTCGCACCATCTTCACATAGCTGTAGAAGGCCTCTGAGACCTTGTGATGCAAACTCTTCTTCATGTCGATCTCCAACTCGAGCAGCCACTTCTCCACTTGGCCACGGGCCTTTGATGTCGAGATGATGTCCACCAGGATAACCTCCTCGCGCTCCGAGGATCGCATGGCCGTGACGTCCAGCTCCTCCGTGAAGTTGAGCGTGGCGATGCCCTCGAAGCACTTCTTTAGGTGAGGCTGGACACGCATAGGGTCCTTCGTCTCGGACAGGATCTCCAGCAACTCGTCGTTCGAGAGGAAGAAGAAGCGAGGGAAGTACAGACGCTTCTTCTCCAGGTAGGCGTTGAGACCCTTCTGGATGACCTCCAGCAGGCTGTAGGCCTTCTTGAGCTTGTCGTTCATCTTGTCGATCTGCACCACGACCATGACTTTCGGATCGCTGGCCACCTGTTTCATCAACTCTTTCCATATCTGAAATGGAAAATTAGAGGAGATAAGCATTTTTAAAACAATGTCCTGGGGCCTATTCCCCTTTCTTAAAAGTTATTCAAACCCCAAATAAGCAATTATTAATTTTATCGACAAATAAATAAACTCCAAGTTAATCCAAATCCCTATTATTTGGAGCTTCCCTTTGGAAATCAATAAATTCTTAAATTGTATTTTCCTTTGTGCTCCGAAACATCATCCTTCCCTAATCCCGTTTGAAATGCTATTGTTGGAATATCCTTAAAGTGGACAGACAAGGGGCGAAGACCCACCTACCCACCTTATCCACGGCACTGAATCGTCGTCCCTCCTCGGGCATCTGCTGTTGAATGTCCGGGCTGCTGAAGATGGGCTCCAAATACATCCAGGTGGCTTGCACGCGCAGCCACTCGTCCAGAATCTCCTGCAGCAGCATGAGCTTGGCCTCCCACTTGCTGTAAAAGGACAACAAAGGTTAGCCATGTGTGATTTGTCGTCTGCGAGTGACACTGACGGGCCAACAAAAAGGCCGCCCTAAAAGGCATCCCTAATGGCCATCGGGCTTGGAAATTACTCAATAAATTTTAAAGATTTTGCCACGAGAATCATTTGAATAAATTCCAAATAAATTTAAGAGAATTGCGGTGCTTACATTATGTCCGCCTCGAAGGGTTTGATGTAGGGAGAACTCTTCATGGTCTGGGTCTTGATTATTTGATCGTCCAGCAGGATTTGGATGTCGTCCACGGCAGCCAGCTTGAAGGTTCCAGAATCCCTGCGGGAGACATTTCAATTACAGCATAGTTTGGGGGGGATTCACGTGAACAACTCACCTGTAGGGCGAAACGGAGAACTCCACGCCTTCCCATTCGTTGACCATCTTGGCCATTGCTCGCTCCAGGTTGTTCTCCTTGGTGGCACTTTCCGAAATGGCCTCGAACTTGGGCACATACTCGTCCAGCTGGTACTCGATGATCTTCTCCAGCGTGAGCTCGGGCGACACCTTGATGGGGAACCCGATAATCTCCGACACGAGCTCCCAATGGCGAGCCTTCATGCCCGGGTTGCCCAGAGTGTTGATGATCGGCATGTGTTCGCGGAAGGCTTCGATCTGGTTCTTGACGTCCTGGATGAGCTGCATGGTCATGGGGTGCTCGCCCATCTGCTTATCCAGCTTCTGGATGACGCGGTAGAAGTTCGAGACATCCGTGTCTATCTCGTCGGGATCGAACGAGCCCACTTGGGAGTGCATCCACAGGTCCCACTTGTCCATGAAGTCCTGACCCGCGTCGAACAGCGTCTTGTAGGGTTTCAGCTGGTCGTGGGCCTTCTTGCGCACCGGGTACTGGGAGAGGTCCCAGCCGTAGGAGGTCTCCTCCTCGTTGATCTGATCGATGGTCTCCATGGCCTGTACCAGGCGCTGATCCAGGACCCCAGCTCGCTTCTTGTACCGGCTGAGCTGCTTAAAGTCGCCCCAGGTGTCGTAGGTCTGGACCTGTTCGTAGTAGGTCTGCAATTCTCGGCGGAACAGCTCGATGCGCTTCTTCAGCAGCTCCTGGTACTCGATTATCTTCTCGGCTATGATGGCACGATGCTGCTCGAAGATGGAGGGCAACTTCAGGTACCACTGGAAGGAGTTGCTGTTGTTCTTGATCTCCAGCGGAGAGTACAGCGTGTGATCCATCAACCAAAGGATTTCGCCCATGTTCACCTTCAGTCTGGCTTCCATTTCCGGCGCAAGATTCTCCTCGGCGTGTACCACATACGCCTTCAGCTCCATCAGCTCAGCCGTGTCCTTCGGCACAGTCAGAGCCTTCTTGGCAATGGCATCGTATTCCTTGCCCAACCGCGAGATCCTGGCCTGCTGATCAGTGACCATTCTGGCCAACAAATCCAACTGCAGCTGCCGGCATAGGGTCTCTAAATGAGTAATAAACTTGTCCCGATGGAACTCGTAGAATCCCATCCGGATAACAGCCCACACCTCTTTGGCAATGCGATCCTCCTTCTCCCGGTACTCGTACACCATCTCCGAATACTGATCGAAGGTGGCCTCGCTCTCCATGAAGTTGGCCACCCGCTCCGCATCACTGCCGTTAATGAGGTCAATAAAGGGATCAAAGTCCTGCAGACGCAGCTCCGGACCGATGCGCTGCTCCTCCAGCATGGCGCAAATTCGGTTCTTTGTCTCCTGGACAATACTGTCCGGCACGTTGGGAGTGAGGAAAATCTTCTTGGACACCACCAAGTCTGTATATAGTTTGCTCTCGATCCGCGGATGCATCTGAATGCTCTGCAGGATTGAGTCAATCACACGCAGGAGTTCGCTCTGAATCTTGGAAAAACTTGGGTTGAATTGTATCGTGTCCTCGTCGGCCAAGATCACACTTATCTCGAAGCCTGGATTGGAGTGTCCATAGTCGCAGATGAAGTCTGCGTAGGCCTTGAGGCTCCGTATGCAAATGTCCTCCAGCTGCTGGGTCATCAGAGCGGCGACACAGTTGAAGAATCTCTTCACCAGGGTGAAGCGCCGGATGTCTGGCAACTGGCCGCGTTTGCTAGCCTTCAGCAGGGAGGAGTGGATCTCGCCGTACCAACTCTCCTCCAGCAAGGTCTTGCCGGCATCGATGTTGGCTCCACAAGCATACTAGTAAGTATTCAATTAAAAATATAATTAAAATTGTTGAAAATTATCAAAACTGCGACTTCTTACCACAAAAGCGAATAGGGCGAACGGTGCCTCGTTCTTGCCCAGTTCCTTGCTATTGATGAAGGTGGTGTCCTTGTACTTGATGCTCCACAGCTCCAGGATGTTGGCCACACTTCGATGTATGCAGAAGAGGGTCTTCATCAGGACATTGCGATTCTCATCATAGCTGCCAACATAAATTGGATGAAAAAGTGGGAGGAGGCGGCACAGTTAGTAGCGTCTTTTTATGCAAATTATCTCGAGAATAAGGAAAACTTTTCACTCCAGCAATTCCGTCACAGCCCATTAAGCAGTGCAGGGAACCGCAGCCGCCCAACCACACAAGGCGGAAACCACCCACCCACCGAAACCATTCAAGGGCCTGGCTTAATGATGCCAAATGCTTGAGGGCAATAAATTAGCAAACCTCACGCGGATGTGAATATCGATGGGCCTTCGACCCACTTTGGAGGCCTTTTGAAGAAACAAAAGAAATCCTAAACCGCACAAGGTGTTGGGACGAGAGATGAGAAGAAAACAAGATTTATTTGATGACTAAAAAGGGCAAACTTTAATGGAAAAAATACCATAAGAACTACTACCTTATAAAGTCAATATACCATATTCCTAGGATCTATTTAGATCCTCAAACACTTCAGCCTGTCTTTACTCTTTGGATAATTTGAAAATAAGACAGCTTGTCAGCACTGATAAGAGTAGGCGATAGAGTAGGAGGGAAGGATGTCCTCCAAAGTGCCGCCCCCGCAGTGTCAGAAACAAGTTCAATTCGTTTTTAAGCATATCCTTTTTGGAATTTATGTCGTGCTGATTCCTTGAGCCGAAGCCGCAGAGCCAGAAGCAGTGAGCCCAGGACCACAACCACGACTCTTCAGCGCCCCCCGGACAGCTTACTGTTGCTCATCAAATGTCAAACCAATACACAGGAGGACTTAACTTTCTGGAGCATCCTGCATTCTCCCCATCCTCCAGCCTTTCCGCTTTTCCATTTCCGTGGCATTGTAGTTGAAAAAGTGCGGTTAAAAAGTTTTTGGCACGCCGCAAAGCGATTTCTCGCGTTCTCCCCATTGCAAGAAGCTTTTAATAATGTCGCACGACTTTCGTTATTCTCCATATTTTGTTCTGCCCCCCCTCCCAGTCCTCTGGTCTTTGCCGGCAACTTTGTCAGCGGCTCAGGAGGCGATGTCTCAGGATCCGAAGCCAAAGTTATTTTCATAAGATTTCGCGCCCTGCCGACTCAAAGGGCAGCACCAATTCATTTCGTAAAAATCCGATTGGGTTTTTAATTTACAATGAAAAACCAGCAAACCGACTTCCACACACACGTGAATCCTCCTCCATGGCGGGGGGGGGCTTGTGTATGGGGGTGTTCGAGTGTTTGTGTGTGGGTGTAATTGCATGTCAATTGCACGCTTTTGGCATTTCGGCAAATGGGAAACCCCCTCCCTACGCGAAACCGGGAAGCCGAGTCTCGCACATTCAATTATGGTAACTTTTTCGTTGCCTTTTACAACGCGGGTGTGGGTGTGGATATGGGTGTGGGGGCAGGTGCTGTGCGGGCGGTGGTGTAATTCATTTTAATTAAAAAATTTGAATCTCCCACATGCGGGGCTAATTTAAAATTTCACCCTTTTGGCCCTTTGTACTAGTGCACTACCAGAGGATGTGTAAACCAAGTTAGGAAGGAGCTCTATTTGGAGATCTCTAGACTCTGGAGCAATGCATACTCACCGATAACGCCAGAAATTGGTCATTTTCTTAACCTCTGCTCGTTCTGGTGTTTCCACCTTGCCCACACCACCCTCCTTGGTCAGCCGGTCCAGGACAGTGTGGCGCAGGACAAAGTCCACGACAGCCTTCTTCATGGCGAACACATAGTCCGCCCGCACCTCCGCGATGTTCTCGTTCAGGGCGGACTGCCATTTGAAGAGCACCGGTGGCACCAGCTCGGTGACTCTATAATTATTACAACATAAAAATAGTTTGAATTATTTTTTAATTAATAATTTGCATATAATCCCAATCAATTTCCATTCTGTCCACAAAGTAATTAAATTTTATGTCGGGGAAAGTAAATGAAGTCCTGTATTAGGCAGATTAGGCGGAATTATCAACGTTTCAAAGAGACAGCCATATGCAAATTTCTTTTTACGAATTTATATAAAAATAAACTGAAATAATAAGCCCTAAAGCTAGAATTTTAATTAAAAAATATAATAGTTATGAATGGCTTAAATAACAAAACCATTTTCCATTTTCTACATACCTATGTCTCCAATTAATATAAAAGAAATAAACTAATAATACACCTAATATACTAGTTAGGTGTATCTTAAATAAACCATTAAAAACTTAAATCCATTCAGGGGTGTAACCTGTGACCCCTGAACCCGTCACCCACCTCTTTAAGATTTTTTTGCTCAACGGCGACACATGGATGGTGTCTATGCCGTGCTTAATATAGTAGTAATATCGCAGCACCTCCCGCTCATCCTTGTCGGGAAAGCTTGTGCCAGCGTTAGGGTCCTGGTCATCGTCCATGTGGAGGATGAGCTCGACCAGCTTGCGGCGGAAGTGCTCCCGCTCCAGGCGCATGGTCATGTAGTTGGCCTTGGGCGCTGTATCGCGCTTTTGTCCTTTCTTGCCGGTCTTCTGTTTCTTGGGGCAGAGGATGCTGTCGGGCAGGTCGGACTGCATCTTGCCGTCCAGCAGGGAGCTGGCGCATTCGGGCATGTTCAGTTCATACCAGAGGCGGCGGGCCTTGTAGTCGGGATTGGCCTTCGATTGCAGGATACTGTGCAGGACGTCTGGTTTGGGACGGGTGTACTGCATCTTCATCTTCTCGCATGGCCGGCGCGCGCCGCATATTGAGGTGAAGCTGGGAATGCTGATCTCCCGATTGGGATTCTGTCGGTTCTGCATGGTGCGGCCTGGAATTCAAAGCAAACATTTAAAAATAACGTCTTGCCGGCAAATACGGTTTGTGTATTTACTGAGCTAAAAATGTTTGATACAAGGGTTAAGTCATGGCTAAGCCGATTAGGTGGCAACACCTAAGTTGACTATCGATACCACCCCTTTGCACGCGACTGACCGGCTTTTGTGCCATCACTAACTATCTTTAGAATTGTGCAACCCGGAAAATTGTCAAAAATTTATTTCCTCCAATAGCTACAAATAGCGACTTACCTAGTCGTCTTCCAATCAAGGATCAGCCAAGGATTTCTATTTACGCGACGCAACGCGTTCAATTGGACCGAGTTGATCCGACCATACGAAGGAGTTGAAAACAAATGCAAAAACACACGTTTCCCGAGTTTCCCCTTGTTTAGAATGAATTGATTTTTGTGGCACACAACGATACCGGTCGACTCTAGTTGGAAAAACAAACACCAGACGTTGCCCGTGGCAGCAGGCAAAGAGCAACAAGTCTTACCTCACAATTCGAAACGATTTTCATTTAATCTGACTTGGTATTTTCTTTTGAAAACTTCTGAAAATATCTCGGTTGAAAAATGCTTGGGCAGAGGCTATTTATGCGGGCAGTACACACATCCCGGCTCCTGTACGCCGGGCCCAGTGCCGGATCGGGTCTGGAGAAGAGTGCTCTGGCTGCTCTGAGGAAGAAGACTGGATACACTTTTGCCAACTGCAAAAAGGCCCTGGAGCTTCACAGCAACGATGTCAGTCTGGTAAGTAAGAGGTCGCCTTTTAATGCCACATCCTCTTATGTAATCAAACACCTTTCAGGCGGAGAAATGGCTGAATGATCAGGCGCAGTCGATGGGTTGGACAAAGGCCACCAAAGTGGCGGATCGGGCTACAGCCCACGGACTAATCGGCATTCTGATCAAAGGAAGCCGCGCAGCCATGGTGGAGCTTAACTGCGAGACCGATTTCGTGGCCAGGAACGACACATTCAAGCGGTTTGTGGATCACGTTGCGAAGATTTGTCTGCACTACACCGACCAGACAGAATTCGATGGAGATCTGTGGAAGGTATACCCTCAAAGGAATTTTAATTTTCATCTAAACATTATATTGTAATCCTCTATTAGCTTGGTTTTGACGAAGATGCCTTGAGGCACCTTCGCACCGATGAAGGACGCACCCTGGGCGACCATTTGGCCCTCTTGATCGGAGCTTTGGGGGAGAACGCCACCATCCGGCGAGCGTTGTGCTTCAAAGTCAACAACGACTTGAAGTTGGTCGGCTACGCGCATCCCGCGCCCACGAATGTTGGATCCACCGAAGGCATCACGCAGGTGGGCAGGTACGGAGCCGTCATAGCCTACCGATCCACACACAAGCTGCTGGACTTTGAGTTCCACAAGAGCGTCTGCCAGCAGATCGTGGGCATGAACCCCAAGAAGATTGGCGAATACGACAAGGACAAGCCGAATGAGAACAAGGACGAAGAAACATGCCTTATCCACCAGGAGTATCTCCTGGACGCCGACAAGACGATGGGTGAGGCCCTGAAGGACCACGACTGCGAGATCGTCGACTTTCATCGCTTCGAGTGCGGCCAGCCGTTGCCAGGAGGAGTAAAAGAGCACATCCAGTCGCAGAGCAGCAACTAACTATAGTCTAGTCACTAGCCAACTGAATTGTTACAAACACCAACCGAATATTGTTAACCCCCCGCTTCTGAGCTCAGTTATGGTCAAAATTTGCATGTAAAACCATTTACCAGTACAAGTACACACCAAGTGATGATCAGAGTCCCCCCCCTGTGTTGGTGTTTTGAATACTCCATGAGTCATGGCAAAAAATTGGGGTGACCAGCCAGGGAAATGTGCGCCTGCGCAGAACGGGAAGCACGCCTGACTGGCTTTCGACTGCGGGGTTAGGTGGGGAGTGGGGGCAGAAGAATGAACTGTTTATGAGCGGGTTTTGTTCTACAGCCGGTAATTACCAGCACGTTATGCGATAGCCCAAAAGAAAGAAAGGTTGCTGTGGGGGCCAAAGACAACAAACAGGTACCAAAGTATCGGGTGAAGGTAAACAGTGCAAGTTGCTCCCCTTTCATCACTGCCTCCAGGTTCATTGAGCTCGCAGAGTCACGTGCACCGAGTTCTTACAGGGAAACAGTCATGTTAAGGGGGTAGTGAGTTTTATATAGGAAGGAAAACGGTTTGTACAAAAGGACTTAAGAGTAGTTTTATGGTTACAATTTTTGGCTTTTTTTAAGGGTTTATTATTTACAAAGAATTAGGAAATGTTATTCAATAATTATAATAATAATACTGACTTAGTAAGTTAGTAAAGAGTATTATTTTTCAAGCTCCTTGTTTTATAAAACCTGTATATTCTTTCCAAGGTCCTCTACCAAACAATTGATTTCCAAATATTTCGCAAAATCCTCATTCCCAGCTGTCTGTAAAATATAAAAAAAATAAACTCTTAAAAAAAAGAATATTTGACATAATGGTTGTAAAAAAATCCAAAAATGGATTTGGTAACCTTAATCCAAATCCTTAATTCTAAGAAAACATAGTAGGCGTGCCAAACTTTGACTTCCAAAGAAAAGTAAAATACTGTTCAGTCAAGAAAGTGGCATTTTGAAGGATGGACTACGTGGACATTGAATCCTTTCGTTCGAAATACAGCGACATAACAGTCACTGCTGTTCCCACACGCCCTAAGCGTGAGGAGGAACCACCCATTGAACCGGAGCCCAAGGTGACGGTAACTGAGCAACAGGAGCCTAGGGTGGAGATCACTCGGGTGTCGGGTGCACAAGGTAGTAGCTCCACTGGTACTCCACCCACTTCCACTGCCATGATGCAGCGTATCAAACAGCAGAACGCAGCTGCTCTGGCTTATGCCAACGAGTACAAGGAGGTGTTGGCCAAGCTGGAGTACACCAGGTACATGCAGGCCAAAATCCAGCTGATGACAATGGCCAGTGCGGTGGGAAACGGAGCAGGAGCGGGTGTAGACGGATCTCCTTACGGACTGATGCCCTCGGCTATAAGTAAGATAACATTCTCAGATTAGGTTTAGATCCCTTCTTTAACTTCCATCCCATGCAGCTGTAGATCCCAATGCCAATATAGAGGACAAGTACTCCGAGTTGCTGCACCTGCTTGGCGAGATGAAACCCAATTTGGCGCCCACTATGATGGGTATCCGTGCGCCAAAGGACCGCCTCCAGCGAGACATAGCCCATGCCAGGGTTATAGTGCGCGAGTGCCTCTTGATCCTGGAGCGCGATGAGCAGCAGGAGCTGACAGTAGAGCCTCCGTCCCTTTCGGTAGATGCCCCCACTAGCGAATAAGACTACTAACGTCAAACTATAAAAAATAAAAACAAGAACCGAGTTCTGGGAACCCTCTTGTTTTGGTAGTATTACATTTTATGTTGGAAGGTGGTTGGATAGAATAGAATGGATCCGGCATTTTGACACCAGCGAGCAGCGGAGCGCGAAACTTGTCCATCGTGAATGAGAGTAGAGGTAGTCGACTGGTTAGTACTCATTGAATATTAGGAAAGTCTTATTGGAACTTGGAATTCTTGCGGCCAGTGTTTCACATATCATCCACTTGTTTTCACATATCATCCACAACTTTTGAAGATCACCAATACAACCCACAGACCTGAATAAAAGCCAAAATATTTTAGAAATTACTGCAAGATTTACGTTTTGGGCCAGGTTAGTTGGGTAAAAGTTCACTTTTGCCAATTCATCTTCATTTTCACATGGATGTTGCACGCATTTTTGCCCAACAGCAGTTTGGCTTACCATCCACAAGCCGTCGCGTATTGTGTACATATATGCCACATTTCTGGTTAATGCTTTGCAATTACACAAGCTTTTCTTAATTATAACCACTGCGCAGACACCTTGCAATATGGTTAGCGGGCTTGGAACAATCGCTTTCCACTGTCCAATGGCCGAATATACCCCAAAGCCGGCCATGGTCAGAGTGCGACTTGAAAGGGTCACATTCACTGACGCCAGCAGAGGAGGGAACATAATACATATGCATGTATATATATATATGTATGTACATATGTACTGACGATCGTCTGGGCTGCCGCCGCTTCAATTGAAGTTTTTCACGTTGGAGGCTTCCAGTCGTAAGCCGACTTTTCACGGGTTAAGTTAACGCGTCAGATCGGCGCCTGCCTCGCACGCATATCCCGACTTTGTTTGTTTTCTGAACTTGGGTTTCTTTTGCGGGAATTCGGTGTGGCCTTTAATGCTTCCGCTTTGCCTTAATTTGGGTTAATTTGTTTGGAAAGTGTGCTGTTTTCTTCCTTCTTACTTCCGCTGCAGTACTCTTGAAATTTTCGCAAAAAGCTTCATAGAGATGGACATGAAAATGGCGCATTAAAAAAAAAAAACACCAAACTTGAACGCGTTATCAGTTTTCTTCCACAATAACGGTTAAAGCGCGAAGAAACTGGACACAGAAGACTGGCGAAAGACAACCAAATAAAGCTCGGATGCCAGTAGGTGACAAGCGCCAGAAAAACAACTCAGATGAGCCGTTGAGTGCGAAAAGTTAATTGTTAATTAAATTGTTTAATTTGGAAAAGCTGTTGAAGGAAAAGCGCAGCTGCACAGATTTGCATTTCAGTTGCAGCCACAAATTGGACCACAAAATGCCTCCATTTAATTTTCTCAAGCAGGTGAGTGCCAACAGAAGACGATTAGGTGGTGTTTCTACATGTTTTATGGCGCTAAGTAATTAATTAAGTGTTTATGCGGTAAGTGGGCTGGGGGATTTGTTAGTTAGTTGCGTCGATTAATAAGTCATTTATGCAACTAATCGATTGACTAAGAAGTTTCCCAATGGGCAAGTCTATTAATTATTTCTAAAGCTTGATTATGTCTCCGGTTGACAATTAGATTGGAGGGGGGAACCTCTACTTCCATCAATGCACTATGGGCCGAAACGCCGTTTTTTTGGCAGAAACTCCAGTTTTAGAGATACTGGCCTCAAATTTTGCATATATGCTTGAACTATTTTTTTCGAATTTCCAATTTTATTGTTTTGGAAATTTGACCACGCCTATGGCCGCCCCCTACATCAAGAGTTGGCCATACTGTCATTTTTACTTAATTTTTACATAAGCTTAAGTTTTTCATAAAAAGAACTACAAATTTTACTAAATATGGTTCTATTAGTTATAATATTTAATTTAAACCTCTAACAGTGCCGTCTTTCCGGTGGCTCTCCTCCCAAACTTCGAGGAGCGCTGCATGAGAGAACTCATAAACACCTGCTACATGTATTGTTTTTTCGAAAAGGGGCAAAAACGGGCAAAGAAGAGCAATTAAATTTTAATTCCTATATATTTATAAGTAAATTCACCTGGTTAGTTGCTTGCGCCGATATGCGCTGAAAAAGTAACACTCCACAAAACACAACTACTTTTATAACACTTTCCTGCTAAATAGAGACTTACAAAACATTTGACAACACAGACACAAATGTAATGAGAACACGAAATAGTTTTATTATTGATTTTTCATACCTTCATCTTTGTTTTCCATATTTAATCTGGTATTTTCACTCAATTTAAGCCAATTGTAACACAATTAAAAGTTGCCAACAATTTGCAAGTTTCAGGATTCCAATGAATCAGCTGGTTAAATGACCGCGCTAAATTAACAGGGTTGCAATAAAGCTCAAAAAAAATTATAATTATATTTATTTGGAATGTCAAAATTTTTTGCATATTCAAAAAATAGTTTCATAATTTTTTCGATTTTATGCCGCACTGGTACCATAGTGCAATGTGAGTATGTGCATTTCAAAATCATATTCTAATAATTGATTCTACGCATCGATAGAGGAGCTTCCATCTTAATTAAAATATGACTTTTGTTCCAAAAAAAGCCATGAATCAGAGCTCGTCAAGATAGCAAAGTTTCCCGTTCGCCCACCATCTGAGATAATGGGGACTCCAGTTCCATATTCGTGAAAGACAATCGGGCGACATGGGACGTGTCTAATTGGCAGATTCATTCTCAAAACAAAGAAAATAACATAATATGGGGAAATGGTAAACCAATTTGAATGGCTCCAAAACCAAAACTAATGAAATGCATAACGCAAATGGATTTATCAGAGCCGGTTGCGGCCCAGCTGGAGATCCGACTGAGGGATTCTCGTAATTAAGCGGGCTTCTGAAGATGCCCAAAGATAGCTTCCGGTGATTAAATGTCAGAAACAAGACCAAGCCACCGGGCCTGGAGAGAGAACTACGCATAAACACGAAGCCCCAGGGAAGGGAAAACAAAGCCAAACAAACCATAAAGGTGGGAACAATTTCTACGCAACTCACGGCCCGGCCCATCTCAGCTTTCTTTATGCTTTTATGGCTTTTCCCCCACTAATTTTGTTGGATCTTGGACCAGGCCGAATGCAAATGGGTCAATGGACAGTGCTCAAGAGGCTGTACATTCGGAAAAAAGAATAGGAATATAGTTAAAGATTGTTTGGAAAATGTATAATTTGGTTTTGTATAATCAGATATTTAATATCTTCTTCACTTTATATAAATTCTATGTTTAGCATATTTTCCCTTGTATTTTGTTGCTGTGTAGCCACCGAGAATATGATTATAGTGGACGGTTTTTTAAGGGCCTGGCTAATGAATTTCCAGCCAGCATTTGGCTTAATTGTGCTGCTTTTCCTAGTCGTGTGATAATTAAGACGAATGACCACCGCCTGGTGGCTAGTTAGAAAGTTATTGCACCACATCTGCGCAGATAGTCCGAGCTTCCAAAGATTATCTCAGCCCAAACCGAAAGGCATCCAAGCTGACTTATATTTATATTTACATTTTTCAGTTTTTGTTTTTAGTATTTAAAGCCGGGTTAATTGTATGTTAAATAACAGTTAAACCACCGTTGGACGGCGTTTGTTTATGGCTCCCAGCTCCCAAATGCTCGGATTCAGCTGCCATCGCAATTGTTGTCCAATGATGAACGTGCGGCTTCTCCACTTTTCCCCCCTCTCCAGATTCAATGAAGAAATTATTTTGAACTTTTCGGTTTAGCTTCACCCACACCGCGACTTAAGCCCATGGCGTGGGAAGCAGACAATGCCAAGTGAGCTCTTGGAGCGAGGAGCTTGAATCCGAAAAACCGCATCCCGAAAACTGAAAAACAACATCTGCGGTAGCCAGTTTGTGGAAATGTGCAGCAAATCAATTGTTGCAGAAGAAAAACCAATCGGATTTCCAATCCTGGATTGAACGCCTTTCAAAACCATTATGATTTGTGGTCGCCGGTTTCGTTCCCGCCTATCGAATCTAATTAGCCATTTATTAAAACCAAATCAAAAGCTCTGCCACTCCAAACACCTGTTATTGTTATTGAAAGTGTCCATGTTCAGCTTTTACCTTTAGCGGTGCTATAGCCTTTGGCTCTTTGTTAATGGTCTTTGAAAATGTTGCAAGTTGAAAATGTTGCAACATAGAGAGCGTCTCTAAGATGATATTTATTATAAGTTTTCGTCTTTGGGGGCAAATTCTTTGAATGGTTTGGTGAGGCTGGGGAACATAATGGGCCCCACCGAGGTCTGTATCTTCGCTTATATTCACCCGATCTCAAAGCGGAACACTTTAAAATATTTTTAGAATTATCATTCTTTAAACTGGATATAAACCTCAAACAAACTTCAAAAGAAAAAATATTTTTAGATTTTTTTTAAATTTTTTGTGATGGGATCCCTTGAAAATGAAGTTTTCCCTTATAGGGGCCACTGTGATGGCTATATCTTTCCCAATTCTCATCCGATTCTTATGCGAAGTACCTTAAAAGATTTCTGTATCGATTCTCCACCATTCTACATCCAAAACACGAGACAAAATATTTTTGAGATTTTTTGTCCATTTTTCCAAATGGGATCCCTTGAAAATGCGATTTTCCCCTGTATGGCCCACAGTGATGGCTATATCTTTCCCAATTCTCATCCGATTCTCAAGCGGAGTACCTTAAAAGATTTCTGTATCGATTCTCCACCAATCTGCATTAAAATCCCGAGACAAAATATTTTTGAAATTTTTTGTCCATTTTTCATGGTGGGATCCCTTGAAAATAGGATTTTCCCTTATATGGCCCACAATAATGGCTATTTCTTTCCCAATTCTCATCCGATTCTCAAGCGGATTCTTCTAAAAAGAATCTCATTCACTGATTTTAGCACTTGGGTCCGAATTACAGTACCCTCTGATAGAGTATAATTGAAAGTCAATAAAGCTCATTCCCATGACGAAGAGGAGTGCCGTCTGCAGGCACCTGACGCTTCGGTCTGGTCTGCATCTGGATCTGGATCTGAATCTGGATCGGTTGGCAATTAATGTGGGCCGCTTCCAGGCCGAAGAACAGCTTGCGAGAAGCTGCAGCCAGTTTGCCATACTTTGGCCATCTTCAGAAAGGTGGCTAATGAAAAGTCTGGACAAGAGAGCCGAGATGCG